GTTTTAACATATTTTGATATGCTGTTCATAAAATCCTACTAAACCACCAATATCTTCTGTGTTCTAGATTAATGATTCACTGTTTTAAGTTACTTTACAGATATTGAACTGGAAAAAACACCTTCTTGTCTTTATTATTTGTTATAGTTCTCTGCGCCATCTTACAATTTAAGATGCAATTTTTATCAAAATTGAAACATCTGAGAGCCTCTAATGATTGATCTACTGTTGCTAATGACTGGTATAATTAACACTTACTTGTCTCGTTATGTTAACAGCTTGTTAACATTATTCCTTTCTTTTAATTAAGTGTTTCTGTGGAACAGCAGTTTAAGAGTCTTGGACAGGTCATAGTTGTAAAAAAAAAAGATTTTGTCCTTAATCTGATTTAACAGATGATTAAATAAAAAAATAAAATATCCCTAATTAGAAGAAACACTGATAAAACTAGAAGTTCTCGCTCTGAGCCAGGAAAGACATGGAATTGTAACGCACTCATAAAGCATGGGGGAAAACTGACTTCTAAAAAATAAAATCTTAAATACTTCCTGCTCCTGTGCAGACACTTTATTAGACAAGCTGAGAAAATAAATTATTTTTTTTGGTATGTTTAACCAAGTGCAGAAAAGACAAACATATCATTTGTATGACTACATGGATGATTAAATTACTCCAGACTGAAGCAGGGGTATATCTACATAAAGCCATGCATTGATAGACCTGTGATCCAACCTGGTTAGTATGCTTGGAAATATGTCCTTCCAAAAATGTAGCTATTTCATGAATTCAGGAAAAGAGAGCCTTTCTTGTTCACCTCTCATGCTAACCTCAGTCTGGTTACAAAAGAATGCTATGTATGTGCTCTTTAGCAGGTCAACCTGTTCTAAAAAGAAATTATCCACTCTGTATCCTGCTCTCTCAATACTTGAAAGCCTCAAATTAATAAGAGAAAATATTTACTGAACTCAGGAATGCAGCCATTTGAAATAACTGCTGTGAGACATAAATATTGATACAAATATAAACAGGGAAAGTGAGGTTTAATATAGACACATTGTATATAATCTGACAAGGAAAAAATATCTATGGCAGGGTCTGATCTGTGTCCTGAACCATTTTAAATCCGCAATTGAAATTTTAGATGGTTGAGATGCCTTTCACATCTGCTTTTAAAACATGTTCTCCTGTGGTGAAACTTTAGATTACAAATTTAGATGCTAAAAATTATATGTTTATACCCTCTTTGGGACAGATTTTATCCTGCATTAGAATTGAAAAAATAGCTATATATATTTAGATTTCCCCCTTTTACATTAAAATGAATGCATCCTGTGAAAATAACTGTGGTCGGCATGTCTCCTCTCCCAGTAAGTCTTCATTTTTCCCGATTGGAGCCTCTTGGATGTTCATCAAGAAAGCAAACTGCTAAAGTAGGGGCCCCTTCCTTTGGGGACTCATAATGCTAAACTCTTTTTCAAAGAAGCACGTCACTGCAGTAGTTCCTTTATAATATGCTTAATACTCCCTATGATATGAAGAGCATACCACCAGAGAACTGTCACATCCACAAAGTGTGCTGAGCAATTCTTCATTTTGCCTTTACTTTCTTGCAGGACACTACATGTGTTTCTGAACTTCACAAATTGAAAGCAGATTTGCAGTAGATCCTGAACTTATAGCTCATCAAAGAGGCTTTCTAGACTGAAGTCTCACCTTAAATTCATCTAAGACAACAGAATATTAAAATAGGTGTTTCTGGACCACTGCAAAACATCTGCATAGCTTACTTCATACATACAGCATTAAGAGTAAAACTGACTACAGGCTTCTTCATTTGCACAAGGCTTTACTTTACATGTTTTAAGAATGTTTGTTTTTTTTTGTTGCAACATTCTTGGTTTAATCTTTGCTTAAATGAAAATAAAAATTTCAAAAAAGAATGTTTTCTGTTTGGAAAACATATTTAAGTATAAACCTAAATAAATCATATTATACTCTAGAGTGAAATGTTTATCACTGCTAAAGTTTAATGTATACTTTCATGATTAAACATTTTTTTATATTAGTGAACCATTTCTAAAAAAACATCTAATGTAATGTGGTCTGATAATTCTTAAACATTTTAGCACAGTTACATTTTTTTATATACCATAAACTATTCCAGGGCTATATAAGACTAACTTCCTTGATGGATTATGTACAGTATAGGCTGTTGAATTACTTCCATATGTTAGCTTAGCCCCAAAGTCTGAATAATCATGATACAAAAAATAATGTAGGCAGGAGTTTTATAATCTCAGGGTTTCCCTATCCTCTACACTCAACAGACCACAGAACTCTGTTGTCATTAGTTCCATTAGACAGTAAGACAGTAAGGCAAGATATGCAGCTGTAATTCATCTTATTAAAATTCCCAGAACATGTGAGACATGTCTAACGTGGACAAGACTGGCAAATCTTGGTTTGTTTAAGCCATTAGGAAAGCCCACAGTTCACATGGGGAAATGGAAAAGCTGAGCTTCATGTTCTCACTAAATACCTTAGCTGTAGACATCAGTGGCTGCCCCATGTCTAGACTTAACCTTAAACTCTGTGTTTTTTAGCCTACCATAAAGTCTCCCTGTTTTATCTACATCCAGCAGCATACATTTGAAATACACAAGTGTGTTGCTATATATACAGTTTAACCTCTCATTTCACTTTTTACCAAGTGTACAAGTGCTGCGATGTGCTCAAGACTTTCATTTCTGTTTTTTCTTATATTTCTCCTCTCCATGATAACTCACTATTGAAGCTTAATTAGCTTGAAAAACTCATTCAGAAACACTGGTAGATACCATGGGACTGGACTCTGCTGTCATTCAAGAATATGTGTTATTTATATAGTTAATATATAGTTTGTTACACATCACATTGTCCTGGGTCTTCTGATTAAATATACTGAAAGAACAAGAAAGGTTACACACAAGAAGAGAAGATCAGTTGGCTCATCGTGCCTGTTTGGTGTCATGATCTTGATCCCTTCTCTTAAGGGCACCTGCCCCCTGTTCTGTCCCTCCTTATTTAAGTGTGGCACTCTAGCTATTCCTGGCTCAGCATTGGGAGATGGATGCCCGGAAGCTCGCCTACCAGCGGGTCCAGGAGAGACCCGATGGCATAGGCTTCATCACAGTGTTCTGGCCTCAGAGTGCCTGGCCTCATTACCCTGTTTTGATTCCCTGGCCCTGTTCCAGATCCCGTTCCGGATTTTTATCATGTTTTGTCTCGTCTTGGATGGTTCACCCGGTTTTGGACTTTGGACTGTGCCCCGGATTTCCCCCTTGGACTCTTTGAACTTGTTTGCCTTTCCCACGCCCCCCCGAGTACCAGATCACCATCGTTAAGGCCCCCTGTCTGTCAACCCGTCCTGATCCTCGTCGTCTCCTCCCTGTTGTCCTTCCCCACTTACTTCCGGATTATACCATCTGCAAAGGGTCCTGAACTACGCTTCGCGGGAGCCTGGACCAGCTCCTGTTACAGAATGCTGAACCCAGAATAGCGAAAGTGCCAGGCTTAAATGAGGAGGGACAGAACAGGGGGCAGGTGCATGTAATCAACTAAAATACGAAAGAGCCGGAGCGCCCTTAAGAGGAGGGATTACGATTGTGACATTTGGTAGTTGAGTTGAGATGCAAGGATCTCATCCAGTGGTTTCTTGAAGGAAGCCAAAGTATCGGCTTCAACAAGTATGGTAGATTGTTCCACTTTCCCACAACCCTGTGGGCAAAGATATGCCTCTTATTCTTGGTTTTAAAACTGAGATGTTGATCCAATATACCCCATAGGATGTAAATGTATCAGTATTTGACAACACTTTCAATTAAAAATCTATAAGGTATGAATCACTGCACTTTTCACAGAGCTGAGACTTTTTGATGTATCGTTCATTTCATTTTAGTGAAGCACTGCAGGGCTGCATTTCCATGGAATATCCCCTGCACCTCAGATCCAAGATAACTGTGGACAAAGTCTTCCACCACCCACGTGTCCTGTTCCAGTCTTTGGAACCTGTGCTTTTACTGTATTTGTTTTTAATGTTTAATTATCCAGATGGAAAAAAGAAAACAGCCCCCTTGCAAAGAAAGGAAAAGTGCTTAATGTAAAATCAGTAGCTACAATGTGCAGCTCTGTCTAACTACCACATCTTAGAAATGAGAACAGCTCTTAACATGCTTGAGCCTGTTTTAGTTTGGTTAACATCACTCCCCTGTGCCCTGTCAGTCTACAGGAAAGAGTAACATGTAATAAAAATGACCAGAAAAACAAATCCATATATATATATAACCACCAGGTAAAAGTTACTATTCATACAATATTTGTTCAACATGACAGGGAATTTCTTTCTGTGGCAAAATAAATACCTCAAAATCCCTTTTGTGGTATTTAAATAGCTGACGACACTGTCCAACCATCTGGATGTATTCTGGTCATGTTTCCTTTGATGTAAAGTAGACTTAATTCTACAAATGTCTTGTGTCTTGAAAAAGAATAAAACATATTACAGATTTTTTATCTTGACATAAAAATATGAAATGTTTCCCATTTCTTACTGTGGGTGAACTACTCATCTAATTTACTTACTGGAGCATTTGCTCACAATGGAAAATTGGACGCAATCCTCTCACAAGACTTTAAATAAAATACACCTACAATTTACAATTATGTCTGCTTTATTTCTCTTTTCCAGACCTATACTGTTACCAGACATTTACATTTCTATCATTTATTTTAGAGCTATCACAACACATTATTTTCTAGAGCCAAAAAGCAAGTAGTTTACCAATTGAAGCAGTTTAGTCCTTCTGTAAATACCCTCAACAACAGCATTTCTCCTGTGTTTATGAAAAATAGAACTGAAAAGTAATTCTTGCACTGTACCGGTACTGAGCCTTGAAAAGAGCCCGTTAAGCCTGTGTAGAGAAATGCCATTAGGGAAATGGCTTTAAATGTAAAGGCTTTACCTCGATGTTGTTGGTCAAACTGTTGATGAACTTGAAGCCTGGGATCCTCTTGTCACTGCAAACCACACCTACATCTTCTGTGTGCTTGCAATCTGACACCCCAAAGCCATTGGAAGAGCAAAGAGCCAAGCTCTTCTCTTTTCCTGTACAGTGAACATTGTCCAGCCAGATACGGCCTATAACACAAAGAAAGGCAGACAATGGGAATCCATGGCTGATATACAGTAGGTAGAAAGCTATCCTGGCTCATAGCCCAGATTTCGAAGTTACTCATAGATAACATTCCTTTTCCAGGTCATCATCACAAGCTGTTATATCACTACCTAGTTATTAAAAATGTAATGGACTGGGTGGGATATTCCACATTCCAGACATTTGGCATGAGTTAGCTGTCTCTGGGAACACATTAACTAATAACAGGAAAAAAAGCCAACTACCAGAGAGGGATAGTTTAAGAACACATGGCACATTGTCTTGGCTGATTCCATTAACAACAGTCCAGAGATAAACAGGCAGACTGTGGCAGTAGAAGTGTGATGGAGGAATTTCCTTTAAGACTACAATTAAAACTCCAGTGCAGACTGCCAGCAACTTCATAGCTTAGTAATACACTGACAAAGATCTTGAGCCAACCATTTTTACAGCAACAATGCAAGACCACACATTGTTAGGATTTTAATTGAAGACTCTTAGGAAATCAGTGTCAAAATTTAGCCATGGCCAGATTATTCCCCTGAGAGAGTCCAATAGACCAACCAATACCAACTGCAGACACCTGCAACAGGCTACAGCTGGACAGGAAAAGTCGTGGAACATCCTACAGCACTCAAGTCTATGCATTAACACAGATAGTGATTGAGAGGTCATATTCAATGCTAACTTCATACTGTACTTCCATTTTGTCTGTTTATAACGTGCTTATCACATCTCTTGAAAATGGTTGTATAGTCTGCACTTCTGCTCACATTTTCTGTGAGTTTGTTTCATATCTACTGTATGTTTAAAATGTTGGATTAAATCCATTTGCCATGTTGCTTTTTTTTGTTCATCAATGTATTTAGAAGACAAAGCTGCTGGTTGTAAAGAAACACAACCACAGTCAATCATGTTGAGAAACAAACTTTCTTTACAGAAAATTTTTATTTTTGTAAAGAGACAACTGGGCAAAGAAAAGACAAAAATAATATCTTACAACGGAAACATAATTCTGTGAAATACTCTATTTATTTTAAAAAGTAGAAATATATTTCTTCTAGAGCAAAATACTTTGTACGTTGTACAGTTACTGTAGTTGCTTACAAAGCTCCTCTACTGTTATACACATCTCAAAGCTGAATGCAAGAGAAAAGCTCTGTAGGGTTTCCCGGAGAAAAATAACTATTGTGGTATTATATAAAACAGTCAGGGCAGTATTTCAGTTACATACAGTACATGCAGCTATAGCTCTCCTGCCCAATACTTCTGTTGGACCAAGTTAGGAATTTACTTGAAAATATAGTAGACAACCCAGATCAACAGTCAAAGTTATAAATCAGGTTATCAGTGGCACTCAAACGTCTTGAAAGTGAAACGTGTTATATCAGAAAGGAAATGCAGTAATATAACAGTCCAAATCTATGCTGGTGAAGTGATCCAATCAGACATGTACAGTATATGGAAAGTCTCCCCCGTTTGCGTTAGAACCAAAATGAGCAGGAAAAGTGTTTAACTGCTGAAATCTGCATCTGGGTTTTATTACAATGCAGATTCATAATTATCGAAAAAGCCTAAAGGCCTTAAAGTTTAAGTGTTGTACTTATGGCTCTCGCTGTGATTTATGGAGTTGGGAAAATTGTAGCACATAATATACTCTCAAGTTAGCACAGAATGCATGTCCTACTATCTACCTGTATGTCAAATTTACATTTTTTAATACCTTACATTTTTTTTATACCTTACTATGGTATTAGTTAAATTGTTGTATTGTGAAAAAAAAACATTTCATGAGAGAAAAACACAATAAAAAGAAAGTGTATATAGCTGGAATTATAATTTGAAACATTGTGAAGAGAACTTCATGGCATATGAAAGCATATGATTTAGCATGACAAGAGATGATCAAATTATTCAAACTGTTTGGATCTTATTGATGCTATAAACTCCTAAAAGGTGTTTTTAAAATTCCACACTGTGCAAGAATAGGTTTCCAGTTTCTAGTCTGCTTCCACTTAATATGTAGAAAAACCCCCGAGAATAATTTTGCCTAGTAGCGATCAAATCGAAACACAGATTATTAACTGACTATATCTGGAAATAACATTTTTCTTTCTATGCCACGACAGATTTTGAATATGCCCATCTAGAAATGCATAATACATTTCAGATTAAAACAAAGTGCATGTGACAAAATTGCCTCTTTTGAAAATTCCATATTTATTTTTATAGCCTCATGAGTTTTAAAATGCTAGCTGTCAATCAACTTGGCTTACTGCTATAGCTGTAGTATAAGCAGCCACTGAAACATGCTTCCATTTGTGACAATGAAAGCTTACAAATGCATGCCCAGCCATAGAAACTGCTCCTGTGAGTCACACTGAGTGACCAGATCACCTCTGACCCCGGCAACATTTCAGCAGATATGCCTGGTCACTTAGAGAATCCCAGTCACAATTCCCTAACCAGTCAGTGATCTCTGGAGTACAGCGGCCCAACCTTTGCTAAGGGAAAACGTCTTGAACCGGCTGAGCTTCTCCAATGCTTCCACACAGTTTGATTTTTGAGTGCTTTACAGACGTCTGGCCTTACCTTCTCCCTTGCCATACTTCGAGGCTGGGGACCATGAGATGGCTTCGAGATACCCAAGCTCCCTGCACACCACCTGGGCGGCATGAATAGAGAAGTCGTCGTCACAGACGGTGCCCCACTCCCCATTGTAGAACACCTCCACGCGCCCTTCGTTGTGCTTCCGTTTGTCACCTGTGAGCCTCAGCTGGATTTTGGGGGTGTCAGGAGGCAGCTGGGGGGGCTGGTAGTGCTCTTGCGCGGGCCCTGGGTAGCCCTCTGGGTAACCCCATTGCTCATATTGAGCTTGGCACAATACGCTGAGCCAAAGGACAGCAGCCAAGCAGCAGATCAAACAGGCAGGGGGGGACATGGCAGCAGCTCTGTAGCCTTCTGTAGATGTTCCTCAGAGAAACAACAGGAGGTTTCCTGAAAGATAAAAAAAAACGTTTAAAAAAAACTATTAGTAATACTCATCAATTAGATATATGACTGGTGATACTTTTGTAAGTGTCTACCTGTATTTACATCTTCTATTATTAACCTCAAAGTAAGCTTATTCAGTAACAAAATGAAGTCATTGATGGTATAGATACATTTAACAAATTTCTAATTAAGCACAAAATCATGAACTTTGTGAAAGTACTGTAAGTCACCATGTTGTCACAAACCCCTGGTCTCACCACGGGCAGGAGCGAGAGTCTGTGCAAACTGTGATGTGAAGTGGCCCTTCCTGCTCGCTAGTCACTGTAATTACTAGTGTAATGCAATGTACGAGCGAATAAGTACAGGTTGTGCAGCAGACATCTCACCACAGAAAATTTCCAGTGTGATCTGCATTGTAGAGTTAACAAGTAAGTTTCACTTATTGGAAAATGAGATTTTTTCACAAGCCTGCTTGTTGAGGTCCTTTGGTTAAAAAGATACTGTAACGGGATTCAGACAAACATCTTATGTTCATCTAAGTCTAAATGCAGAAGAACATGACAGCTGTCAGGGCTGTCCCTAAAGGAGTGTGAGGACCAGGGCCTCTCCTCCTTTTATCACCAGACACCATCCCCTGTAATACAGCCCTACCATCACCCCTCCCTGTGATGTAATTAATAAAATAGTTACTACAAATATCTAGGACTTAGCTGTGCAAATCACAGTACTCAGGATATATACTGTGAAATGCACATTTAATAAACAAAATTCACAGAATACACACAGCAGTAGCTAGATTAAATTTGAGCTTTTTAGAAGGATACAGTTCCAGTTTAAACATTAGTTTATATTTTGATAATTGCTTAAAATGAAAAACATATAAAAAACGCTGTCAGTGAACCGTGTAGGTGTACAATGTGGTAGTGTTTCTAGAAAGTGTTTTATTTTTGATAAATTCAGCAAGTATCTTAAATTAAACTCATTTTATTAGTGTCTATGTGATGTATAAGCATACAAATAATTGTTCTGTTTAACTTACCACGGAAACGTTTTAAGATTTACAGGCACATACAAGCTGGCATTAAAAGGCAAATAATATCACTTTCTAAGTATTTAATGCCCCTTGTATATATATTTGCTTGTATGTTTGTTGCATGCCTAATTAGAATTGCGTCTGACATCTTGATGTCACAGCACGGGGCTTTCCAGGAGCCTGGAGAACTTGCCTCAGTTCGCCACAGTTACGAAACTTTAAGGTCATCTTTGACAGCAACGTCAGCTTGTTAAAGATAAGACTGACTTGAAACAAAAAGGACCAATATACTGTATATTGTGATTTAAATAGATTTACAGCAATGGTCGTAGCAGTTGTTACCTGCTGTGTTGATACTAATTCATCTGCAGGTAACAACACTGTAAAAGTGTAGAAATGGAGAATGACCTGGGCTGGCTATATCATTACATAAAGCTTATCTGGATGCCTTCAATCATCTGTAGCTTTAACTGTGACTGTTTAGTTGGCTTCAGTGATAAGAAAGCCAACTCTACAATATACATTTAAAACTGGGATCTCCAGCCTTTTTCTTGGAGAGTCTGGATCCAATACATTTTTAGGTTTCACCCTAAAATGTTCATGTTCCTATAAAGTAGTAACATATGTACAATACCTTATTGATCAATCAAGCAAGCAATTGGTTAAGGAAATTCCATGTGATCACTAAATTACTACATTTAACAAAACACCTGAAAATGATCACAGCCAATTTGTTCTAAGACTTTAGAAAGTGGTGATTTAATGCTCACCATGAGCAGGGTTAGAGATGTCTGATCTAAGATTTCTAACTGAATCACTTCACAGTGGTGCTAGACAACAGCATGATTGTTTTGATTTATAATACAGAAAAAAATGTGAAAATTAACTGTGAGTGCCTGTTTACTTGGGGTGCATAAAGCACAGATCTGTTAACAACATTAAAATGTATAAAAGCTAAACCTATGGAGAAAAAGAAGTCTTCCAAATCTCAATCTCTCACAAATGAAAGCAATCCTAAATGAAGACTTCCTTCCTGTTGAATCCTAATGGGCTTAACATTCCCTTTAGCAAATACACCAATGTTAAAAAAGGATTTGGGGGACTTTTTTCATGTATGAACTGCTTATTGAACAAAAGAGTGGAAGCAGGTACACAGTTTTGCTCCAAACAGACCCTTGATCAGTATTCTACAGAGAACAACTAACAAACTACAGCCCACTATCAAGGGTGAAATATAGTTCAGAAATGACTTAACACACACCCTCTTATGTTTCCACTAAAGACTGGATAATCTCAAAATCAATATTTTATTTTTTATATAAACTGATGGGCTTTTATTCTGCAACTTTACAACTTTAAAATATTGTTTGTTTGTTTTTTTCATTTGGAGCAATGAACCAACTTGGGAAACAATACTAAAAGAATATAGATTGTGAGGTTTGTTCCTTGAGGTTGTGGGATTGTTTTTTTTCTGAACAGGCTAATGGAAGCTTGAAATGCATGTTCCAGAAGATCCATACAGTATGTTCTTGAAAAGCCTGGAAACTAATGTGGTAAACATCATGTGCATGAGAAAGTGTCACCCCATCTGTCATACATACTGTAAACATAACACTTCAGGCATTACATTGCAGCTGTACAGCTGATTTTATATCCATGGAGCACAATGTGGAAATTATAGAGCATCCTGGTGATGTTATAGCCTTCTAGGATATATTGTCATTATCTATTAGGATATAGTACTCATGGTTCTATTTGTACTATATGTATACCAAATTTCCTAGCTCCATGATTCCCATTGGCCTATTAATGGAATAAAAACCTCATAAAACAAATTGCAAAAAGAAACAAAATGTTGTTTGTAATGATTCTGATACTTATTTGTTAAGCCCATATTATATTTTTTGCCCATGCAAGCTTACCACTTCATTATTAAACTGCATTTTATTCAGACATTTAATTGTATTGTTCACTCTACTGTTTGGTGTATAATATGTATCCTGCATTGTAACTTCATCTATGTTTAATCTATTACATGGGAGACTTTCTTTTTCAGTCTTTCACTTCAGATCTTCACAACCTCAGACTCCTTATAGCCCTAGAGTCTATGCTGAATGATATCTGCAATGTTATTTCTTCAGAGCTTTTGTGATTTGTGGCATGACACTGGCTACACTGGGGTCTCAGAGGAAGTGACCCCCATATTCTGGCAGGAAAGTGAAGTCATTATGGTTTGTTGTGATTACAAACAATTAATTCTGCAACCACCTTCTCCTGGTGGAAAAAGCAAAAGTCTGAAAAAGGCAACAAAACTAAAGAACAAGCCTAATTTCTTTAGTTAATCCTTCAAAAGCCAAGGGACCTGGAGCCAACTGCTTTCTCTGAATGCACCTTTGGTCTCTAAGATGTCATGAGTTCAAATCACTAGGGCTGAGTGCCTCTAGGAGCCTGTCACGGTCAGTTTAAAGTTGAGGAAGCAAAACCATACACTGTGGTTCTGTGGGAGAGCTGAGCAGCCTTTAACTGAAGCAGCTTGAGGAGTCGACGGATGAGAGAGATGAACAGGCCATATGGAATGAGCCTTTATGCTGTAACTGATGTGTCACAAAACTCAATGTGCCACAGGAAGAGTTTTCCTTGCTTATGCGGGTCTTATGTAAATCCTGAGACATGTGGTTATCATCCCACCAGGCTGTTACAATGATTTTTCATTGATTCAATGTCTTTGATTGATAAAGCTACCTCGTGGAAACAGCAGACCACTGGCTTACACATGAGACTTACTGTATATGACATTAGACTAAACACTTAGTTTGTCTAGACTGTGTCTAGGACACGTAGTCCTAGACACAGTACCCCTGTGTCTACTAATTTTGCTTCAGCTTAGTTCTTAATCATTAGCCAGCTGATATCAATTTCATATTTCAGGCCTATTTTTAAATATGCTTTCAGCTCCTATAAAGGAGAAAAGGATTTGTAATTGGTAACAGACTTGTATTAATGAGTGATTTCACAACTGCCCTCATTCAGTTGTATGGGGAATGTGTTTTATACGGTCATATATACACATATACAGTACCTACAGTTCATTATGTGTGATCATCACAAACTAGTTACCTATTAGGAATCCTTGTCAGAAATATATGAATAAATCTTAGGAAGATGAAGAGAGACTGCACTGAGTTCTATATGCTGATATTAGAAATAATGCACTCTACCTAGGGTATTTTCACAATTGGAGTCCAGAATTTTGAAAAGCCAGAATACTGCAAAAACCAGCAGACACTGTGATCCTTAGGAACCAGGATTGAGAAGCACTGCAAGGTAAGATATTTCTGCAGTGAACCACAATGAAAAAAGACCCTCATCACAACTGGTAACAGCTGAAATCATTAAAGAGCAATCACCTAGCAACAGAGGCATAAAACACAGCAACACAAAACCTTCAGCAAGCACAGACTCCCCCTGGTAAGAAGGGGAAACCAAAATCATTTAGTTGAGATTTATGACATCACACTATGCTACAGCCCATTTCTCCTCTGGATGGGAGTCCTAATTTTCCAAGCAACTTTCTCCTGACCCCAGAATTCTTCACTACTGCTCTGTGATCACTTAAGGAGAATGGGCTCTTGTTTGTGGGACAGTAATTATCTTCCCTCACAACCTTGAGAAGGACTGCTAATAGCTTGCTTCCCTACACCAAGATACAGGGAGAGCTGGCAGGAGTTCACAGGTCAGCTGGGTTTGGTATAGGAAAGCATCGCTATGCCAACCACACTTTAACCATTTATAACTCCAGCTGGGGCAGGAATTCCTTATCTCCCAGGAAAACAGGGTATGCAATCTGCTGAAACAACTTACTGCAGGTGCAAGAAGTGACAATTTCATTCTCAGATACACAATTACAACCAAGTCATTTTCAACTCCTAGCAAATAGACAGACTTAGCTCCATATGTTCTGTGCACAGACTATTTTAGCCAGCTTGACAGCTGAAACAACAGGAAATCACATGGAACACATACAAATAAGGCCAACTGGAGCACTGCAGTGACGTTATTAAATTAAAATTCCTTCACAATTATATTACAAAGAAATAACCTTTAACACTGACATCTGATCCTGAAAACCTCAATCTCTTTCCCCATTTATAAAGATGTGGACAAAAAAGAATATGGTGACAAAGGTTTCAGAGAAGATGTCTAGATTATGGAATCACTGTGTGTAAAATCAACTGGATTTTCCCCTTTCCAGAAATTCAGTGTAAATATTTGTTCCGTGGAGAAATTATTTGGGGTAAAAATGTCATATTAACATCTCAAACAGCTTTTTGAGATATGGTCATTTAATGTTCTGTGGCATTTTTGTACCTACCTGGGCTTCCTGGAAAACATTGTAATTTCTGATCTACACATGCTAAAAGTATGACAATGGACTTTTGTATATGCCAACAGATTAATTGTCTTTGAGGTTTTTATTGAGAAATTTAAAATTTTCAGGTTTACATTTATACATTTGCCTTTTGTTTTTGTTTTTTTCTATTTTTCAGTATGACGTTCCACAGACTCTAATTTTTAAGCACAGAAACTTACAGCATTGGATCTTTGGTAGTTTAAGAGCTATGGGCAATTAGTTGATGTATGGGGTCATTCAAAGCACTGTTTATCACTTGCAGAAATTTTAAACGCTTTGGTTCTCCACACCTGGCTATCACAAATTAATTCTTGATAAAACAAAAGACTTTATCTGTGATTTCTATTTGATCTGTTATTTGTATTTATGCATTTACCACTGGAAAGTGACACAGATAACAAATAGCATTAAAACCCTGAGATGTCATAGAATGACCACTAAGAGAACAAGAAAGAAGGCATCAAGTCACATACAGTAATATAATCTACTGCTCTTGCTCTCATGTGTTTTGTACAGTAGGTAACTTTACCTCTAAGATGAAGAGGCTGCTTCGAGTAATTAAGTGTAAAAGACCTTAAGAAAAATATTATGCCTAAGAAAATCACTGGTTGATTGTTTACTTGACTACTCAGGACAACTTAAACACAGTAGAACTTCCAGGACATGAGATTGAGACCACTTGGGTCAGTTATCTGCTCTGTTACTATAGCAGCTATATTGCTCATTCATTCACAGTAGCTGTGTTTTCTCACTTTTGACCCACACCCACAAATCTACCATGACTCTTTCAGCACTTTGGGCCAATCAAACCCTTATGTAGATGATTGTTTATAAAAGGTGGCTTTGCTTTTCCAGAGCCTACTTCACTTCTGAAATGTTTTAACTGATCTCACGCACTATTAAAGACTGAATTTGTCATGCCCCAGCTTGAAAATGAACGTGCATAGCTTACAAGGAGCACCTGTCATTACATCACGAGCAAAAGGAAGACATTTAATATCATTCTTTTATGCTGCAGAAAAATAATTATTAAATTATTGCTCATTAAGATCTAAGTACATGAGCAGCTGAAATAATAATAGCTTCATGGAGTGCAGGAATCTAAAACAATAGTTTACTATAGACTTTACACTTTATTAAAAATATTATCAATAACATAGCAGCAAACACCTATTAGAAACCCCCTGCAACCACGCAGAATAAAGAACGGTGTTAAGCTTCATGTGAATAGAATACATTTTGCTTGAATTGATTTGATCTTATTGTGCTGTTATTATTAAAACTTGCATTATGATATTTTACAAGTCCCGCCGTGCCCACTAGAACAAATTTGAGGAATAATACAACTCTCAATTACAGAGAGTTAAGCCCATTTAGTTAAACCCAATCTCAGAGACAGCTGGAAGGTCCCAATTAGCTTCTGTTATGCAGCAAATCAAAAATATGGAGGCCCAAGCCCACCTAACCCAGCAGAGCTCCACTGTCACTTCAAGAATGTCATTCCCAACAAGCTAAGATATTTGTTTATGCAGTTTAGCAAGAAATCTGAAAAGTATAGCCAAACATCTACACAAACTACACCTGAGTTATAGGACAAGCTGCTCCTTGAATCTCAGTCTTTACTGGTTTAACCCCAGCATTTTCTGTTCAAATATTTAATGTAATAGCATACTAACAGATTATACTGCTCCACTTGAGCATGGTTTCATATTGTACTGTGCATGCCTTTTGTCACGTATGGGTTCACATAATTAGTGCATGACAACGCTTTTGGCATTGCAGGGACATCGCCATCTGCTGGAAGCCAGCGTGTACTACACGTAATCGAAAAGAGCAAGTCCTCGCTTTTCCAGGGTGGTCTGGCTTTTTGTGTAGTCTGGTCCTAACGTGCTTGCCAGTTGAATTACTGACTGGGGTTCAATCCCATATCCAACCCGTCAACCCATCAAGCATTAGATTTTTGCCGGAGCTAAACAGAAGGCTTCCATTATTCAGCCAGTTGTGCAGTGCAGTGTGTTGGCATGCTGTGGTTGAGAGAAAAGCGGTGAAACGTGTACACGCTGATGTATCTCAGGGCTGAGCATCACCATCTCCTGGTAGCCTTTGTGCACTACGCCTCACAGAAAAGTGCAACTTCCTGCCTTGCCAGGCACTCCAGGGCTATCGGTGATGCAGGAACAAGCTTATTAGCTGAACCACCAACTTGATTCACTCCTCAATTCAGGCTCTGTCCCTCCAACATCATAATACTAATTAATACGCAAAAACGAAAGTGTTCATTGGACAAAAATCATTATCTGTGAAATGTCTGTTACTGTTTTATACAACTCATTAATCGGGTTTGAAAGTTAACCATTTGATTTAACTACTAAAATGCACGCAGCTAAACGAAACAAAATCATTAAAAATATGATATTGCTCTGGTGGGGATATCGGGAAAATTTGTGCTCGCATTTTTCCTTCTTGGAATAAAGAGACGTAATCTTTAATTACAGAGTTGTGGTTTAGCACTTAGCATTGCAAGCTAATGTGAGTGTCTGTTTGGGGGGGGGGGGGGGGTCTTTAAATTCAGATTTTCCGTTGGCAAGAGATGGGTGAACGATAAACGATCTAACAGATATTGATACGGTGCTGCAAATTGTTGCTCCTGACTTTTGTTTTATGTAGTGCCAGAAAAAAAGTATTTTCTAAAAGTTTCCGTACCTTAGGTTGTTTGCGGTCGGGAGACAAGCTGATTATAGGTTTTCACTGCTAAATTTACAGCCAAGCAGTTCATCTTCCTATTACCTCCCTGCTGAACTTTCCGTACCAATTGCAAGTAGGCAATGCCTGAAACTCAGCACATTCACCTTCATTTTGTTGAATGGGAAAGCAGACTGTTGATCGGGGTTAACATAAAGTAGAAGAAAAATGCACAACACCGGCTACAATAAAAGGCCTGCATAATTTTTTAAAGGAGTATAAACTAACAATCTAACACAAACTTCAAATCTATAGTGTACCCACTGGTTTTCAAAAGGGTTATTCAGCAAAGGGCTCAAACCACGTAAACAGTGTAAGTCATTATCATAGTTTCTTTTTTCAGCGTAATTTCTTCATCGGTCCAAATTTCTCTGTTGACAAACAATGCTAATTAAAGGATCGTATCCAATAACTAATTGCAGAAAGTTATTTTTTAAATCTAGTAGGGTTCTGCTAAATCCCATAAGGGCAGCGAACGTAGACACTCCACACAAAGGACTGTATCGATGTAGGGGAACACACATTTTTCTTCAAATTAATAGAAAAAGTTAAAGACGTAATCCTTTTCTGATTTTGCGGAATTATCACAGAATAAATATTATGTGGTAAAATTCAGGTTCACTGGACCTAGATGTCTTTTTAGAATGTTATAGCCAAAAGATTAATTTAATTTCCTTACACCCCCCTATCAAATATTTTTCCAGGCACCCTTAATGAAGTCCTGTATGCAAGTGCACATCTCGGAATTCCTCACCGAATCCTAGATTGAAAACTAATTGGACTGTCCACGCTTCTAAAGAACAGGGCAGTACAGGAAATTAGGCAGTTATGATCTCTAGCGGACGCACCCTGTTGCAAGTCGAGATTAACTGTTCTTGCCCAATTGCAATAGCGGCCAAATTCGCGGATAATAATTTATCATTGACACGTTCTGTCACAGCAAAGTGGCTTTTAGTAACGTTAATGATTAAGAAATAATGACAATTATGCAAACTTGGCTCAAACAGTTATTGTTAAAAAGGCATCAATTTATGTTTCAATTTATGTTCCAACAGGCAATCGAGAACTTTAACTGTTTTGCTGTGATGCATTTCAAAGTACCTCCAGACCAATTAATAAGCAGAAAAAAACGTTTCATTTAAGACTATCCCACATCAAAGCATTAATACTTACTTTGACAACTGAAGGCGGATGCTTTCTTTCGAAAGTCTCTCCTTAAATTTCCTTTGTAGAATAAATTAAGGTTTAAGACAGTGTTCCTGTAAAAAAGATTGAAAACGCCTGATTACTACCTCTTTTTACTTTGTTCTGTAGAGGTTCCCTAACAACTTTCACCACCTCCAGCAAGAGAGCTGGGGTTTCTGAGCCAAAGGCACGCCTTTCAGAACGGCCCCTCCACGCCTACCTCACAACATTTCAACAATGACCTCATCCTTAACGCAAATCTTGCAATGCTAAATATTGCTGGGATTCTTATGTACACGTAACAGACCGTAGACAAAGACGTTTTAAATGAAGCAGTCTTTATATCGTACTATTAATCCTCATAGCTAGAGCATTTTTGCTAAACACACATATCACCTATAAATTGAGTCGAAGCTTAGACAAATCATGACGTATAATCTCAGTTTGCATATATTGGGGTAAACTTTTTGAAGATGTAAGTGGTGTTTACAAGGTCATTTCTACACAACACTGGAAGATTTCACAACTGTACTGTACTACCAATTCCTTCTACTATACTATTACTTAGTGTAGTTAATACTAAGAAAAATATTACCATGGCTGTCAGCAGAAGCCATTAAGTGCTACTAATTTTAACAAGAACTCCACTTTTTTAAAATATATGACCAACGTATAGACTTTGTGGGAGGACTCCTTTTAGAGGATCTTAGAATTTCATTAATCTGTAGTGAAACATTTACGCATATTTTGGAGGGTAGAGCGTATTCATAATCATTCCTGTTGCCTTTGTTCACAAAAAAAAATCACTTACGTCACTTACGTTAAGAGATAGCATTACATTAAAAGCAGCTGTTTTTTGTTGGGGGTATATGAGTACAATTTTACAACAGAAAATTTTAAAAAGGTATGACCATTGATGGATGCAGCATAAAGAAGTTAGGTGTAATAAAATAAAATAATTTAACATTTTAAATTGAAACTATCGGGAAAGTTGTTTCATAACTTATCACTTAAAAAAGGTTCATATAATAAAAAATAATGGCATACCGTGTATCGCGACGTCAGAGGTGCAAGATTGTGTTGAAACAGACTGTACAATCTTTTCCATAAGACTTCCTGTTGCCTCTCTTTTTTCCTTCTAGACGTTGCTGAAAATCCAGAACACAGGATATAAATCTGTGGCAGTCCTAACCGCTAATAAGGTTACAATCAGGGTTACTTTCCTCTACAAGTTAATCTACTGCCCCCTTGTGCACCATAAAATATCACATCAATCTCTGCTAGAACGTCTCTATCCTTGATAGCGATTCACATTATTATACATACTAATTAACATATGTTACATACTAAAATGAAAGAAAGGTCATGAAACTAATTATGAGGAGATCTGGGTTCTATAATGCTACGTTTAAGAGGGACATTAAAGAATATGCCACATGTATTCTTTTAACATTCACTCAAGATTACAGTTAACAATTTAATTCTGAGATAATTGTACCTTAAGAAAGCCATGTTTGTTCCGATTGTGTATTCATGAGCCCCTGTGAATTTTATTTGTGAAGTAGGTGATAAAATGTAAATAGTTTTTAAATAAAAATTAAAATAAAGATAAATTATATAAAGTTAATTTTGAAGTCGAAACAATTTTATACCTTCTAGTGATTCGTTTTTTAAAAATACGGTCAATTTTCAGTACCAAACACACTCTTAAAATTATTCATCCCACTTTAAGAAACGCGAATTAACATTACAACAAATATTTTAGAATGTATTTTAAACGGGAATAAACAGAAGATTAAGAGACGTTTCAAAATTGCTAAACGAACACTTTCTCTGCACTGACACGAACAAGGAGAAGCGGGTTTGTGTTATTAATCAGTTAAAACGTTTTTATTAGCGCCTTTTAACTTGGAGCACCGTCTAAAAAGTAAGTTTATAACAGTGGTAGAAAGTGTGCGGTATGGTACAACCTGAATATATAAAGTGTGCTATTTTGTAATATACAGTCTAAAGCTTTTTTGCAAGCCTCCCTGAAATACATGTTCCGTTTTGCAAACTAGTGCTCAGATCTATTTTAAGTATTAGCCTAGGTAGATCATAGCCTTTTAGCTCCTGCACACCTTGTTAAGTTGTTCAAATAATTTGTTGTGCTAAAATATTGAGCATACAAGTATAATTCCTTTGTGCACAATAGATATTTCAAGCATTTTGTCAATCATAGACCTATGAGCTCAGGAAACCTTTCAGTTGCTATTACTTTTCCATCTTTTTCATCTGTCATGGATTTTTTCCAGTTCAGTGAGTAGTATTCCGATATTTAAGAAAGATTTCAAGCAGTGTTTTTGACTCTAGATACTCTGCTTGGAGTGTGGATTTAGTTTAGACCTTATTCAGAGATTTGTGTTAAGATGATTCCATAAATGTAATTTAAAAATAGATAAACTAAAAGGAATATAATGTTGTTTTCTCTGTGACACCTAGATCTATACCTGAAACATATATGTACAGTAGCACTTCCTAACCCCACTTATGTATTGCGTTATATGATGATAAAATGAAAGTTGTGATATTACAGGAAAAAGAGAATCTACACAAAAGGAAGGAATAGTACTTGATGTTGGGGGAAGAAATCTGAGTAGATAGGAACTGAGCACTGAGCTGAAAGCAACCAACCAGGGATAGACCTCATTCTTCCCCTCTCTCTCTCTGTGTCTTTGTTGCTCACAACTCTGCCTCCTCCCTTTCTTTCAAGTCGACAGTTCATTAGCTTAGCTGCACTCATTCTTTCTTCATAGCTTTGCACAGGGATGCATACAGTGAGGCTGAAATGGGAAAGCAAATAAACAGCCTCCAGATCTAACACTCTAAAAGGACTTTAAAGACAGAAAGCACAGATACAACATGGACAACTCCAAAGATTTGCTCTGAAGCCAATCCTGGGGCGATCCAGAGGCCAGAGGTCCTCACTTGAACAAGAGAAGACAAGGTGAAGCATGACTAATGATACCTGGCTTCAAGACGGTACTGGCAGCAAGATTCAAGGGCTCCTGGCTCGATCCCTCACTGCCTGCCTGCTTTTGCTCTTTGTCATCAGTACGCTTCTGGGGAATGCTTTGGTGTGTGCAGCTGTGGTGAAATTCCGCCACCTCCGCTCCAAAGTCACGTATATCTTCGTAGTCTCGCTGGCTGTTTCCGATCTTTTTGTGGCTACCCTGGTTATGCCCTGGAGGGCAGTGGCAGAGGTGGCTGGGTTCTGGCCATTTGGCAGCTTCTGTAGTGTTTGGGTGGCCTTTGATATCATGTGCTCCACGGCTTCCATCCTTAACCTGTGCATCATCAGCGTGGACCGCTATTGGGCGATCGCCAACCCTTTCCGTTATGAGCGCAAAATGACACGTCGGGCGGCATTAGTCATGATTGGAGTGGCTTGGACTCTCTCTGTCCTCATTTCCTTTATCCCAGTGCAGCTGAGGTGGCACAAAGCTAATGGTACCTCTCCTCCACCAAGCTCTGCTAAGCTTTCTGAGACTTGTGACTCCAGCCTGAACCGTACCTATGCCATCACCTCCTCCCTGATCAGCTTCTACATTCCTGTGATCATCATGGTTGTCACTTACACCCGAATCTACCGCATAGCTCAAAGGCAGATCCGCCGCATTTCCATTCAAGAGAGAGCGGCTGAGCATGCTCAGAACTGCCATGGAAATCGAGGTCTACCCGAGGGTGGCCTGAAGAACTCTTTCAAGAAGGAAACCAAGGTCCTCAAGACTCTTTCCATCATCATGGGTGTCTTTGTTTGCTGCTGGCTGCCATTTTTCATCCTCAACTGTATGGTCCCTTTCTGTAACCCAAGCATCCACCACCGAGGTCAGCTGCCCTGTGTGAGTGAGACCACTTTTGATGTCTTTGTCTGGTTTGGTTGGGCCAACTCTACTCTCAACCCTGTAGTCTATGCCTTCAATGCTGATTTCCGCCGGGCCTTTGCATCACTACTGGGCTGTGGAAGACTGTGTCCTAGTAATGCAGTCGAGACAGTGGATTTTAGCAATGAACTAGTGTCTTACCACCATGATACCACCAACCATCAGGAGATTCAGCCACTCAGCTATCCCTATCTCCTTCCCCATGTTGTTAGGCCACCCAGCGAGAATGAGCTGTCCTTTGATGACATGTCCCAGTTCTCTCAAACAACTCGCAGGGACAGGGATCAGGCAGGAAGTCACCCTGTTATGGTCCATGCTGATGGAGATACTGATGTGTCACTGGACAAGATCACTCCCTTTACACCTGGAGATCAGCCATTTAACTTGGTTCTGTTTAAACAGAGTCTATGATCCACACCCAGAGAGAGGGTTCTGGTGCAGGTACGGGATATTGTAAAAAGAGCTATCCTTTGTACACGGTCATGTAGAAAATGCTTGAGTGCAGACTGTGCTACTTTTGGTAGGTTTGCAGAATGCTGAAAATTCTGTACAGAAGGTGGACTTCACATGTTTTTTTCATTAACATTGTTTGGACTACTGGCTTAATTTATTTTAGGATTAGTGGCCTCATCTTTGACTTCAATGTGATCATTTATAAGCAAAATATGTAGTAGATGGTGCTTTCATTGTCAGTTGCCTATCCAAAATTTTTAAAAGGACTGAGGCATCCTCAAACAAATAGTTCTTAATGTGGAGAGAATTTAAAGTTATTAGATCATGCTTGTGTTAACCTGTATTAAATAGCTTCAGTCTCGATTTTACAAATAGCTTAGTTGGTGCTGGAAGACTACAGATAAACAGCACATTGATTGTGCATCTACAAATGAACTCTGCAAATGAATTCTGCAAACTCAGCTTACATAGTTCTTACTGATGAACAATGCCTGGGTTTACGTTTTCTTTGTTCTCAGTTGTCTTGCACTTTTCAAGCTTTTAACAACGTCAGTTACATATTATTATTCTTCATGTGTGATGGTGATACACAGGTAGTGTACTTATTTTTACTTTGAATTCAGCTCTATCATCCATATGTTTATTTTATTCATACATTCTGAATTGAACAGTTGGTTTGCTGTGCCATTTTTTAAAGTGGTTTCAACAAGGAAGTAGTTGTTTTTTTAACATGACGGGTTTTAAGTTTTTATTGTGGATCTACATGAAAAAGATAGTAAGGACCTGGGAATGAAGAGTAAAACAAGGTAAAAAAGACTCATAGATGAACATATGCAGGTACCGATGGTGTTTAATTTAATAAAACAATTTATTTTGGAAGATGTTTTTTAGTACTCAGCATGCAGGTTTTCTTAATTTTATAATTGTGTAACATGGATGATATTTTATGGTTCATCTGAAGTCATTCAATCCTTTTTATTTTGGCATTGCAATCTCATCTGCACATTTGCGGTTTTTCTTTTGATGTGATTTGTATTAGTGTGAAGACCTTCAATATAAGAGGTGTGTCATATTATTACTGCAATATTACTATTACTTTGTTCTATTACTGTATTTGAAATTTATCTTTATCATGTGGTGTTTGTTCACGTTATTAATTTTGCTTTAGTCTTTCTAAAGATAATACACATCTTCTCAAGAATGATTAAATATAGTGTTATTGACTAGTAATATTACAGTACTCTGCTTTTTTATATTCTACTGAGATATTGAAAATGAAAGTTTTAAAATAGAATTGAAGGAAGATTTTTGTTATCACCTTTTTTAATATAAGAAGCAATGTCTCAGTTTTAATTTTTAAGAACAATAAGCTGTATTCAAATCAGCTGTAGAAATTCAACTGGTTTAGCTGTAGAAAAACTATAAGTCATCTGAACTAAGACTTTGTTTGGTTCACCAGTTAATGATGGTTTTGAATAACCAAGGTCCAATAATCATGTCCACTGATGCTGAATAAGCTCTCGCTGGTTAATGTTTCCTATTATGTTTCAGAGAATTGATTCAAGCCAGCAAGAAACAAAACTTCTCGAAAACGTGTCACAAGTCAACCCTGAAATATGTCCTCAAATCTAAGTGTTTAATTTTAAATAAACCAAGTCACACATCAGTTTCCTCTTTAAACCAGCAAAATAGCCCATACTTGCTTTTATTCGTTTAATTTGAAATAATCTGGTAACTGATATCTTACTTGCTCCCCTTTGTTTACTTTTAGGAAAAATCATTAAAAGACATCTGAAAGCATCCATCTAAACATTTTCTAACTACTTCATCCAATTCGGAGTCAGAAGGAAGCCAGAGCCTTTTGTTCCCACTACACTTGCTCCAAACTCAGAAGTCTTGACAAAATTTGCATGATATGTGTTTTGTGACTTTGCGATGCATCAGGTACTCAAAATGTTGTGCAAATAATTATTGGATCCCCAGTAAAACAGTCAACAAGCCCAACAACAGATCTAGCAAAACCACATCTATGACTAGGGTTAGTAGCAGATTCAGTAACCCTCTAATTTTCTAATATACTCCAAAACATAGCCCTAGTTTGACTATATAGCCTAGTTTAACTCACTTAATAGCCAAAAGCTGTGCAAGATAAGATCTTAAGAAAGCAGATAAATGAGGTCATGTGATCAGTCAATATAATCATATTAGCAGGTCATGTTCCTAAATTCCAATGAAATATTATCATTTTACGACCCTTCAGAGATTAGATCCTACAGTATATAAAGAAAATGCATTTTCAGTATTTACAAAGTAACTAAACCATTTATTTCAGTGTACAGTACTTCAGTGTACTTTTCAACACTGCAGGAGAACATATATTTCTTTATGTTCTTCTTAGCGACTTTTAGAAACAACTGGGCATCAGCTATTCTTTTTTCTTAATTTTTGACAAATCTGTGCAGAAGAGTGCATTTCAGAGTGAAAATTTAGCAAGAATTAAATGCAATTAATGTGTTGTGACTGTTCTAAATCCAGTCATTTTCAGTGACTTCCACTCAAGTTGTCTGCTGGGAGCAAGCATGAAAACCTGATTCAAATCAACTATTTAAGTCAACATATATTATTACTAACAACAATATATATTAGCAATAATACAATACAATATAACTGTAAAGCACCAATTTACAGTAAAAAAACAGGAGAATTGTATATAACATCTTTTGTTTGACATTTTCAAATAAATGAGAATATTAGAGTATTATGCAAAATGCATATCAAGTATAGATGTAAAACTGCATGGTTAGGTTCTGACTGACTTGAAAAGCTGGATACGGAAGGGATGTGTGGGTGTATTGGGAAACACTGTTCTTAACCCATCATCCTGTGGAATTTATAAATACTAATAAATGGGTGAAATTGTGCTTTGTTAGGGGAACTAACTAACAGGTCACTATGTTGGTATAGTCAGAAATAATTGGAATTGGAACTTGTCCACTGAAGAGCAGGTGAGAAATGGAATGGGCTTTCAAATAGGTATGAGGGATTTATATTTAGATTAATCACAATATGATCAATTTATAAACCAGGATTATATTGATTGTCAGATACATTTTCACTATTTGATGAGAAAGTTAACATTAATTACACTACTACTCCTAGAAAATGTCTTAGACAGTGGGAAAATATACTGTAGCTCAACATACTGTACAGTAATATCCTGTTAAGAAATAGAAGCTGCTCATGAGACATACAGTAGATAAAGACAGTCTCTATTACTGCATCAACTTCACAAGAAAATATAATGGGGGATATGATTAATACATTACTGAGATTTTTTTATGAGTTCCCTGCATGAAACTATTACCTCTTTTAACACATAGTGCGTTCCCTTCAGACATGGAAAGTTTACTGAGGCTTACTTAAAGCTAATTTGAAACTCAGTCATGCACGAATTCAAGCTTGGCCGCTCAAAAACTTTAAAACAGGAGGACCCTGTAAACCCATGACATGTTCTTCAACTAAGACAGTTTACTGCACACATTTACAGGACTGGGTTGTTTCACTAATTGAGTTATTTTCATGACCTTCTTATCCTCTGTCTTTTGGTTGACATGTAAAACGTCCCTGTTGTAAATGGCTCTGAAGCAGCAGTCATTGGTGCATGTATCACCCCTAATTAACTCAATTAATGACTTTGAATAAACACTCTGTGGGATGAATAATGATTTGTTTGGGAGATCTCGGTTTTTGATTTGATTATTTTGGGGAAACATTTTCGTCAGGGGAGTTAAGGGGAAGGATTCAGAATCTACCAAGCCAGTAAACAGACTTATCTGTTATCCCAATCTGAACTGTCTGCCCCAGAGTCTCAGTTCATTAAAACACAACAGGGATCATTGACTGAAAGCTTCTGTCCCAATTTGCATTGAAATTCATCTTCAGTAAACCCTTTTACCGACAGGCACATGCTGTGACTGTGAGCTCAAGCTGTGCTCAACGTATTTGGTCAATTACAATTAGATGTTCAAGATTAGCAATTCACAATGCACCAGAAGATCATGCAACAGTACTTTAGTAAAAGAATAGTTGAACAGGGCTTGTTTCTGTCATCTCTAATGAACCTCATTGTTATTCTACATCAGTGTTATGAACTGCAAAAAAGAAGCGTATCTTTTGCATTAATAGGATTATTAATGGATTAATAATGCTGTACTTCATTTCAACTTCAGGCCTATATGAATTAAAAGAGTACTGATGTTTGTGATACAAACCAGGTAATCAGACATCAGAAAGCAATGTATCATGTGCAGTAACTATATCAAAAATAAATCAATTTCCATCAAAAACACATTTGATGCAAAATATATCTTCATTCATTGTAACTGAATTGTTGTAATAACTTTTTAGGAATTAACATGGGAGAAGAAGACTAAATTCCAACAAGAAAAAAACAAGGCAATCTCTCCAAATGGAAGGAGGAAGAGACAATATGGTGAAATATTGTACATTTGTAAATGAAGCTACTTTTACAGTAACTGGGATAGAGCATTATATTATAGCTGTTGGAAGAAGAGAGGAATTCAATCTTAGGACATCTGTAAGTGTGCTCTTCAATTTCTCAAGTTGGAAAATGTGTTTATGATCTCAGATGATCCTGGCAAACACATAGAACCATACTAGACTTGACACAGAGTAGAGACCTGAGAGTTATGTCTCTTCTCCTAGATCATTTTGTCAAAACAGCACAGCAAACTGCAACAACACTCTTTGGAAGCTGAATAACTATTTTAATTCTGTTTTGAAACAACTTTCATGAAACTGGAATCCACACTTTATGGCTTGCTAAATATCCAATTTACATCTTATTCTCAGACTAGCTCAGTTTTTACTGGAAAAAGATTAAATTATCTTTTCTATGTTTAATTAATCTGTTTGAGATTATCTGGGACACCATTAACTACAGTAAGTTTCCAATTAAATATAATAAAAAACTGGAAGCCTTGAGGGCAATTCTAAATGTTAGAAGATTTTAAGTGGGAATTCATCGGAGCAGGGATTACCATTGTCAAAGAAAAAGAAATGAATTCTTCATCAGTCAAAGTGGAATCCTTACAAGTCCATACCAGTACCAATACAATCATCAGGACAACAGGCGTTCAGACTTCAAGGTTGTGATCTCATTAAAATTAAACTGGTGAATGGAATAACTTGTAAGTAACTGGGTTTTAGTAGTATTACAGATTTATGGATCACTTACTGAAACTTTAAATGTGTTTGGCTAGAGAGAAAAAAAGTTTGAAAACAATAAGCACACTTACTGTAGTTTTCTTGAACTGCAGGTACATAGAAGATAAAAAAAGCTGTTTTTGCTGGTAAAGATATGTATGCAATGTTGTTATGATCAATACTACTAAAGTAATGTGCTGGGAAACACTCATAGAGCAAATGAAAACCACGCATGAAGGATTCATGGGGGAAAGAGCAAGACGTGCATAAATAATTCCCCCCATAAATACTGTATGTAAGAACTACAATTTATGTGAAAACCATTTATTATACATTGAGAGTACAAAATTATTACAGGATGTCTACGTACTAGTGGGTCCCCCTGAGAACCTAATGAATTGCTGTGCATCAGACAGCTATATACAGCCTACCTTGGAAATAAAATAGTACAGAAAATGTAAAGGTTTCTTACAAAGGTAGCAACAGCAGAAAGCTCAGCAGAAAGCTTTTTGTCTCCCACTGAACTCCGGATGGAAATCTCAACTCACAGTGAGGGATAGCTCAGTATAATTGAATTTCCTATGCTTCTTTACTTAAGCCCTCTGGTTATCCAGAAAAGATTGCTTAAATTATTAAAAAATGAAAAAATACAATATTCATGGTTAATTTGAAATGTCATATTGTCACATTCATGTTAAAAAAGGAGCATGAATAACCAAACATAACCTGTTATTTATATATGAAAGACTAGACAGGAGTTAACATTTATTGTACATACAGTATACAGTATCTTAGGAGAAATTCTGACAGGATTGGTTTTTGCTGCTTGTTCAAAATCTATATCCAGGTAGCCAGAAATCTGAAATGTGGATTTGATTTATACAAGTTTGGCACTTAGACTTTAGGAAGACACAAAAAATGCAGTAAATGACAGGATAGAAATCTATGTGAATACATTTATATACTTTATATTTACGTGACACTTGAGCAAACATTTCAAACATCAATAAGTAATAAATTATTTCTCAAACTGAAAACCTTTTTGATCAATCTTTACAGCACACAATAGCACAACAAAAACCCTTACTCTCTGAGAGAGAGGTCTCCTAACTGCTCGCATCCATCTTTGTAAATGGATAAAAAGTTACAATACTTCTGAATGTGGATCAGCAAGGTTTTCTTATATATAATAATTAGTATATTGTAAACGTGATGTTCATGTTAGAACCATTTTGTCGTGGTTGATGGCCCCTTTGGCAATGCTGCGGAGGTGTCCAAAGCTATGAGAATTCAAAACATCCTCTTTCAAGTTTTACTTCAAAATGAAGCATTGAGAAGTACTGCTGGTGATCAGGGAGCACAACTGAGGTCTGTTCTTGACATAAATCACAGAGAAGGGACTTCAAAGAAAATTAAAGTAAAATATTGATTTTTTTAAAACACTCTCATGAAATCCACTCGGGAAAGCAATGAAGTATTCTCTGTGCACTCCAACTCTTTGACAGAATTTCTCATTGTCTCGTGTATGTAGTCTTTCTTGCTCTGCCTCAAGCTATTTGATATGATGCCATTAATCTCTCTGGAGCTGTGCTCTTTTATCCTATAGCACCCTATAGCTCAGCCATCACCATTAATGGGGAATCTTCCAGTGATCTTACTTCAGGGAATGGTTTATGTCACTCCTTCCTCTGGTTTGAATTAGGCTAAAAACGTATGCCAAATGCAGACATTATTCTTCAATTTAGTTAAAAACTATTAAAAGAAAAACAAGAAATGCATGAAAGCTAATTTTCATACTGACATTCATTAATGCAGGGATAAATCCTTTCCACTGTCCTCTTCAGCATTCTATTTTTGTCTCAAAGATCTCAATTTTCATTCTGATGCTGAAAACCGTGCAAGACTGCATGAATGAGAAAAAACATAAAAACATCAGAATTATATATTAATGTTGGTGGCTAAAATCACTATTCCATACATAGTTAATAACCCAAATGTGGCTGTTATCCAGTGACATTTCTTCTGGGTGTAAAGAAGTCCTAGGTATGCAGTAATCTTACTATAATCATAGGTTTTTACATTGATATTTATTTATGTACAGTAACATCTTTATCTGTATTATTATAATATTCATATTTTCAACATATTGCTTCAATGGGGAAAAAATGTCCCTATGAAAATTAAAATAATTTTTAAATTATTAATTGCACTGTCTCCCAAAAATGAAATAAAATGTTTCATGATTAATCAATAAAATGCACAGCTGGAAAGCAATGAATTCACTTTTAGCTGCAGTTTCATAAATTATCTAGCAGATGACAGAGTGTGATACTGTATATAATTTTGCTTGTTGGAGGCTGTCACTGTAAAACCTTAAAGGGATAATGCAATGAATTACTGGACATGGGGCAAACAGAGGGTTGAGCAATGTTTTTTCATCTAAACATTAAACAGGTTCCCTATTGTGTCTTTTCACAAAAGATTTTTAAATAATTTAGACAAAAACAATAAAGAAGACAAGGTATAATTTTAAGATAAACTGAGATCCTAAAAAGATTTTAGGATATACTGTGATGTAAACGTAACAGAAATATAATGTTGATAGTATTATGTCCTGACAATCAGTTTTGAACTAACCTAAAACTGAGATGTAATTGTATCTGTCCTTCCATGTACTTTTCTCAATTAGTTTATATTATTTTACCATACAGTATAAAACCTACTGATACAGCTCACATAGCATTTCTACAATTAATCTTTTTGTTTTTTATTAAGAACAACCAAAAAGGAACTTTCCAGAAACAAAGAAAGAAAAACAGATTACTCAGTTGAGCAGATTTCTTCATAATAATGCCAAGTTTATAACACATTTGCACAGGCTTTAAAAAAAAACAATTAAGCTCCACATGATTCTTAACATTGATCAATCTGCTCTATTACAGTACGTCATAATCAAATCTAGTATCAACTAAAACATTTTTGGATGTTTGGAACATTTTGAAGGTAGAATTGTTTTATTGTAAGACAGTGACACCAGAGACAGAAAGTTAAGAAAGGTGAAGAGTTCACAGATGAGAAACAAACTCCTTTTCTCAGAATTTGCCTGGGTAAGGACAGCCTGGATAAATTCAGATACTCTTTGCTTTTGAGCTCCTATGAGGTTGAAATCTCTTGCTTTATTAATCAAAAGGCATGTTTAATTTGACAGCCAGAAAACAGCCTTTGGAACTTAAGTAACTTTGGAACAAAAAAGTAAGACCATCTTTTGTTATAACAGCTTTCCCAATTCCTTTTTCTTGATTTTTTAAACACATGATTACACTTTGACATATGAAAGATCGCTGCCTACTAATTAAAAGCTTGATAGGTCCCCAAAATTCAGATGAAATCCCGAACCACTAGAAACGCTAACTCTATCAATCAATTAATAGCATAATTTAAAAGCTAAAAATTACATTTCTTAGCATATTTGGTTTGCCAAATGAAATGTGTGTTCAGAAACCTCTGTATAAACTGCATAATATGTCAACATCCCATTTTTTCTGTAACCACACCTCATTCCCTTTTCTCAACCATAATCATAATAATAAAATAATAATAATAATAATAATATTTTCATTCAATAACAATTTTCATTAATATTAAGTTTTTCTACTTATGTTTTGTTCATACCGCCTCAGTGTCTCACCATTGTGTGAATAATTGAAGTCTGTCCAAAAACAAATGAAGACTCAGATGATCTGATTTCTTTAATATCGCTGATAAAGAGATATTTATTGCAGTGGCTTGACCACTTTTAAATTATTTCAGAGTTCAAATTGGTGGTTATTCGCAGATCAAATTTTATTAAACACACCACATTATAATATAAGTAAAACATAACTCCAAGCAAATGAAGAAACAGTCAGAGACAGGCAGAGTGATACAGTAAAGCAGCACACTGGTCTTTTCTCATAATCAAAATACATTTATTGAACATTTAGAGGTCAGAATTTTAATGACACCAAGTCAAATTATCCTTAAAAACGGTTTCAATATATGTATGTTACATGAGTAAAAAGCTTCTCAATGAGCAAATTCTGCATCATCACAGAGGGTGTCTATCTTCAAAAGTGCAATTCACTCTTTCCTTTCTCAGTAGTACTGAAAAACCTTTTCAACTAAAAAAGAAATACTTTTTAGTTCCAAGTCAGACTTGGAACATTTTCCCCATACATTTCCTGTTTCAATACACTTTTCAATATTTTTAGTTATTGATTAACAGTTTTTGGCATTAATTGATCAGTTACAGGTGGCCGGGATACATTAAAGTAAGCATTAAATCTCCACATTAGTGAAAGAGTTGATTGGGCAAAGGTAACGAGGTGATTTAATCAGCTGAATGTCCAACATGGGGAAAATAAAGAAAGAAAATATGGATAAAACAAACATGCCCCAAGTAAGAGAGCAATACTTTTGTACTATTGGCATGTTGAAGGCTAAGCTAAGGGGCTGTCCTGGCGGGTTCGGTTTGGGATAATCATAGTCAGCAATTTCTACCTTGGCAAGATGTTACAGCCGAGCAGATGGACTGAGTTGTGCCACCTTGTCAAGATCGATTATCCTACTGGAAAGTGAATCTTCTCCCAGGTCCCAGGTGTCATGCAGACTGCAAAACGATTTCCTCCAGGATTTCTCTGTGCTTTGCTGCACCCATTTTGCCCTCCATCATCACAGGTTTACCAGTCCCTGACACAATGAAGCATCCCCTTAGCATGAAGCTACCACCACCATACGTCATCATGGTAGAGATGGTGTTCTCAGGATCACACTTGCACTAAACATTGCACTTAGCATTTAGGCCAAAAAGGTCAATTTTGGTCTCATCAAATGGAATCTTCTTCCACTTGGTCTAACAGTTTCCAAAATGCCTTCTTGCAAAAAATCCTAATTAATTACATAATGATTCCCTATTGCAACACAATAAAATGTAAAAAAGCCCAAGGGGGTGAAAAAGTTTGATAGCCACTGTATATATTATATACTAGTGATCATTTATACAAAAATAAAATGCTTCTAACTTAGAGATTTACTCTGGTTTTCCATACACTGTATTCCCTTATCCGACAGCAACACATTTATCCAGACCCTGCTAACTGTGTATTTGTCCTGTATTTGTCATAACTGTATTATGAATATCATGCTAGATATCCCAATTTCTCATTAGTTTTGTGGTCATTTACTTACAAATATTAACAGTTATCTTCTGTTTAAATGACCTCGTTAAGAGCACCTACTGTCTTGATTTATAAAAATGAAGATAACAGTGTCTGTATCTTGGAGCAGGGAATGGGATTAAAACAGAGGGTTTTATAGGCAGGAGACCGTGTAGGAAGGAAGGAGTCACGCTCCTAATCCTGAGTGCAATGTTCACAAAAGGGACATCTGTGCAGTAAGAGCTGTCCAGGAAATAATTTCATTCCATTCCTTAGCTATTGTCTCTCTTCACGCAGTAGTGGCTGAGAAGGAAAAGAAACAAGTCACAAACTATAGTACTTAAAGTGGACAACATCCTTAAAGAGCAGACTTAGGACCAATAAAAAAAACTAGAATCATGTTAAAAACAGCATTCAGAAACCTGATAGAGCTCACTCCCCATAATTTCTATCCTTATATTTCATTCTGTTGATGCATGTTTTTTGCACATCTGATGTTGTTTTTGCACATTACCTGTTACCTTTTTGTTGTTTTGAACATTGCCTGTTGTTTTTTGCACACTGCCTGTTATCTCTGTCTTTCTTTTATTATACAATTGTATTGTTGTTTTTTTTACTACATATCGTCTGAGAGCTAGCTAAATAGCATTTCGTTATTCCATATACTTGTATATGAGTATAATGACAATAAACTTGAACTTGAACTCCCAGACAAAGAGCAAACAGCAGTGTTCCAAAAAACACACCGCCGCATGTCTCCACATGGTGGTGCAGCTGTTCAAGAAAGGTTTCTGTAACACGTTTTTAAATTCCAGAATTTCAGTTCGCTACACTTACTGTCGAGGTACTGACTTGAAACTGGGGCAACGGAAAGAAATGCTACATGTGGCGTGAGAGACGCCTGTCTGGCACGTCTCCAGACATTTTTCATTGCATCATGGGCGTTTCCCCGGACCAAACTAATGCTGGCATCTTGAAAATGTGTGCAGTGGACATAGATTTAAGATCCAAGATCTTAAGTGCACATGTGTTGATACATAAACCTCTTTTTCGTAACCCCATAAGTTGCTCTTTAAAACTAATATTCTTAACTATATTGGAAATACCAGTGGGCAAATAATTACAGCCTTTTAAAACTGCTCTACCTTGTATACAGTGAATGAGCCGATCTGCACATAGATGGAAAAACACTGTATATCCACAGTAAATGGAATGTTAGATTAATTGTATTTAAATTGAAAGCAAACAATACAACATGCCTAAGTGGATGTATGGCACTATGTGTGCATTATAGCCAGAAGGCCACTTCACACTTACCCTTGAGCTGTCATCTTCAGGCCCTGACTCTGGTCGACGCCACGACTGTTTCGACAGAATACCCAGGACCACTACTCCAAAAGCAACAATCAAGATGCCCAATGAGTTTGCAAAAACAGCCTCTGGGGGCAGGGTGGAGTACGGCTGAGTCTTGTTTCCACTCTTCCTAGTGAGTCAACCCAGGTAACAAAATATAATTCAGTTTCACACACAGGGGATTTAGAATCTATTTCACAATTGCATAGAAAGATATTTTCTGACCCCTGGTACTAGGTCTTTTAAAAAATAATGTAGAACAATATTGGTAATATATTGGCAACAAAAAATCTAATAAAGATAGTAGATTTGATGTTGATACTGATTGATCCCTATTTTCTAATGCCCAAAACCCAAACTAGAATTGGATTTTTTTTTACCTTCCTTGCTTTCTGTTTTGGAGGATACACGTACTTTATATCAATCAATCCTCTGAAGCATTGTCCAGTCATCTGCAATGTCTAGAGACATTCTGATACATTTCTTATTAATAGGGTATACAAGAGCTGAGCGCAGGACAGGGATTGCTTGTCAATGGTGACCTGTGGAAGTTACAAAAACTTTGGACTTGCTAAGCCCAAGCAATGCTTGCCAATTGTTCACACCAAGATTCCGATAAGAGCAGATCCAAAGTAACTCTCAATTTTACTTTAAAGGACTATGAGATACAAAATCAGGCTATGCAAAGTTCACAAATAAAAACACTGATGTCACACAATGACTTTCAGGTGTTTCCTGCTTCTAGGCAAAGTCATCACTTACAGAGAAAAGATGAGCTTCTCGTTGATGCCTGAGATGCAGGAAATAATGCCCATAATGAAAATGGCACTGCCCATCCACACATGCAAAGGCTTGACAAACTTGCGGAGATCTAAGGGAGAGCAGGGCAGCAGGAATGTGCATAGACCCAGAGCCCACTGTTGGTGAAGATTAAGACAATAATGAGTCAAAAAATTCAAACTGGGCTTTGAGAGGACCTTGAAAAAAAAAGCCTGAACTTGGAGCAAAGTAAATAATTAGGGAAATATATTGGAAAATTACATTATGCACATATTAACATGTTATTTCTCTTCCAAGGGGCTAAAGAGAAACCAGATCAACTTGTATCTGAAAGGAATGTTTTTTATAGGAATTGTTAAAAAGTAGATTGTTAGGGAAATTAACTTGAAATCTGCATAGCACAAAATGGCTCAATTCCTGGTCTTAGAGGCATGTCAAATGCAGATAAGTAAAAAGAAGAAGAGATCACAAGTTCCTCATATTTTCTTTGATCCATTGTTGAACATGATTGTGGTCATTGTGTTGACTTTAGTCAGAATGGTGCAGGTTTTTAAATGCTTAAATAAATTGATCTTTATTTGACCACAAATCGAATCAGTCCTTTAAACTGTAAACATCCCTTTGACCAAGACCAACTGGCTTCTTTACTTACAGTGCAACTACTGTACAGTAGGTATACCAAAGACAGTAACAGTGTCCTTACCTGAGTTGCAAAAAGCACCACAGTACAGATGCCCACCCAGCTGTGCACAGAGTAGAGGTTGGGGGTACTTTGCTTGTTGTGGAAGTCAAAGACCGCGCAGAGACCCAGCACAGCCAGGAGCAGTGCCAGGAACATCAGAACAGCATGAAGCAGCTTCCAGGGCAACTTATTTTCACCCCAGGTAAGGGGAATTCGATAGAGAACTGCCGCTGTAGTGCAGTAATAGAGGAAAAGGGCAAACAAGGAGAGTGGGAGTCAGACTGATTATATGATTTGACATTATCAAGCAGTCCTGAAAAGCTGGCGTAAAAAACATTACCCCTTTCCGTCATCAGGCAGAAAATCAAGGAGAAGACCAGTGACGTTCAGAAGCACTGTGGGGAAATAAAACTATTCTGATATTTTGGGGGTGTTCATTTTAATGTATAACTGCTAGATGGTTTTAGATTAGAATGCTATAATAGATACATTAATCTTTAACAAAATAATGTGATAAATGAGAATGAGAAAGTGTTCTGATTCACATAAACGACCAATAATTATATTATGATAAAATACACAGCAAACTGTTTATTTATAACTGGTAGGTTGATGGGTCAAATTTGAAGTAGGGCAAAGTACAAGTGCCATTGGACTTTACTTCACCCACGCTGCTTAAATTTCCAGCTGTATAAATAAGTGCAAATGTAACTTTGGTTAAAAGCGTCAACCACATAAATTAGTATTTTTTTATGAGACTTGCATGATAGTTCTCTTCTTATTAATACAACTAAAGACAGCATTTGTTCCCAGATCAGGTATTCTTAGCGATCTCCCCAACACAGTAAGATAAGGTTAAACATCCTTGACTCACCATTGCCATATACCACAACCAGTCCAGTCACCATCAGCACAGGGTGCCAATTAAACTGCAGCCCTGAGCCATCCCAGGCAAAACCCCCACGCCACTTCGAGTTCCAGTAGGACACAAAAACCACACACAAGAAACCCAGGCACAGACACAGCAGGTAGGACACATAGAAGGAGAGTACAGAACTCATGGTGCACCACCTGGGAGGGAATAAGAAAAAGGAGAGGGAGAGAGTTTACGTCAATTAAGAGTTTCACAGTAGATGGTTCAGCTGGTCTGTGCATAAAATGATCAGAAACGTTTTACCTTTACTTGAGATCAGTATGCACAGCAATAAAGTGCTAAGACTTCCCCACCAGATAGACAATACACTAAGAATTCTCAACCTTTTTATACAGCACAGTTTCTTGTGGTCTGTGACCAAAGTTGGCTTGTTTCACACAGGTGTTTTTCATCTTGTTCTTTAAGTTTATTATGTCTTCTCTTAACACCTAATAGGAGGAAATTGATTGCTGCAGCAACTGACACAGATCATTTTTATCTTGTTTTAATTTTGTTGTTTTATTTGGCTAGGTTAATATACTCCAAAAATTACTGTAATACTTCCCACAACATAATTAAGCAATAATATTGTGTTCTTGAATATGTGCAAGCCATAATACACATGCATGTTGCACTTCATCCTCATACTGTATAATGAAATCTGTATCCCTATTTCTCGAAGCAACGAAAATTATGTGTTGTGGCTATGGCCCATTACGGATATCCTACTTCAGTTCTTAAAAAGAGTACGGAATACAGTACATTTCTTCAGAGGACTGGATAACTTCCAAACCAGGCATGAAACTCCATTAATACTGTGTCACACTTTGCAAGAGCAGACAGTTACTAAGAGTCAGTGTGTGACTTAAACACCAGCCTGTTCATGTCAAGCCTTGAGCCTGAGTAGTAAGGGCAATTTCCCTAAATCCCCTGATTAGTAAGGGCAATTTCCCTAAATCCCCTTGGTCAGTCAGAAAGCTCTGGCTTCAGCATCAAAGAATCGCTGTGTCATTCTGACAAGGGTCATGATTGAGGACAAATCCTGAAGATCTCAGTGTAACATGCATCTTAAAATCCAAAAGATCTCAACTACAGACAGAAAGACAGAAACAAATGTGCAAATTAAACAAATTATTCAGTGCACCACTTTCATACTCTAATTACTGTAGTATTTGAGCATTATTTTTCAACATTATTTTTAAAATGTGATACTCAGTGGGATGGTAAATAGTGTTGCTGTCCCATGGGTCTCAGCACCTGTGTTCAATTCCTGGCACTGGTTTGGTTGTTTTAAATTGTTCCTTTCTCCACAACCCTGTGATCCACTGGAGTCCTGTCTAGGGTGAGAGAAGACTTGTACTTTGTTCCACCTCTTATCTCCTGGGATAAACTCCAGGCTGACACAACCCTTCCCAGCACACCCAGATTCTGTGATAATGGGTGGATAGTTTAGATGTTGAAGTGAATGGTACAGCTTGAAAAATGTTATTTTAAATCCACTTTTTCACAAAATGTTGGTTTAAATTGTCTTACCAACCTTAATAATGAATTATTCTTCCAGAAGAGAGCATTATGGGGAAGTCTTCTTCAGTAGCTTTACTGGAAAGTTCATATTAATCTGGACTGAGGATGATGTTTCATATTTGAGCATTAGTGCTATTGCTTTATCTAAATATGTTTTAATATCACATTGCTTGCACTGGAAAACCTACAGTATATGAGTCCACGATACAGGTGTTCATAAGGTTTGAGGGTCTTAATTATACAAATCATTATATTTACTTAACTACAACATGCATACAATAACCCAAATGCGTTAGTCAATTTTTAATTGGCTGCTTTACATTTCTTGATAGTAAATACAAATGAGTTGTCTTATCTTAAAGACAGTCCAAATTGCGAGAAAATGAAACCAGTGCTAAAAAACAACAAACACATACAGCACAGAACATATGAGACATTAAAAACACAGTTACAAGAGTATAAGAGCACTTGTAATAGGCCTTAAACCACATGACATAATCACATCTATTGTCTATTGTTTATACAATTGGAAGAGAACAAATACTTCATGTACACATTCACATGAGGAGTGGACGATCCAAGGGAAATTTTTAATTTTCTTTGTTGTATTGTACTGTCTCATATAAATGCTGCTCTTCTAATATGGGCTTATTATACTGCTGCAGTAATTTCCCACACAGCCTTTGGCCGGGTTGGCTTCAGTTTCAACCGTTAGCACCAATCCAACTGCTGTAGTAAATTAAATAGTAAATAGTAAAAAGAAAATCACTAAAGAGTAATACACTGTTGTAGTATTGCTACAAATCAGGTATTGCAAAAAAGGGGAGAATCAGGAAATTACCAAGCAGATTAATCAATACATAAAATAATCATTACCCCAAATGATTTCACCAATAATATATCTATGGCTGGTATAGTTAGAGGCACACATATTCTTTGTTCTTTGGCACAGCATTGTTGAAAAGAGTAATAATTCAGGCACACTTAGTTAAATATTTATTAATAATACACACATTAATCTACACACAACATAAACATACAACACACTGGTTACAAAGTATACAAATTTACAAATAAAAAATCCCGGAGACCTAACAGCCTAACGACCCAGAAAAATCCCAGACTGTTACTAATTATTCAAACTCTTCTAAAATGCCTACAAAGACCCAAAGAAGAAATCTCTCTCTGTAAAACCGGATGCCACAAAACTGCGAAACTATCTCCCTGTTCTAAAAATGTACCTAATAACAAGACAAAGCAATTTTTAACCGAGGGATTGGTAACGCTGGAAATCAGAGTTCCCTAAAAGCTACCTACAGAATAGCAAGCTCTCTTAACAGTTCATATACTTAGCTCCAGTGTGTTTTTTCTGGGTGATCTTAGACAAAGAGCTCTCATCTTCAATATCTTCTTTTTTCTCCTCCCCCTCTTGTCTCCCCCTTTTATTCTCTTGTACTGTTAACTGACACTTAATCAACTACCCAGAACTAAATTGACTAAGGTAATCCAAGGTAAACTTTATGATTGCTTTGATCACTGAATCTGGACTCCCTACACAGCCAAACCTCTTGGCCAAACATCCATTTGCTTTGAAGCTGGAAATGTTGACACTAGCCAGGTATTACCCATTATACAGGTATCTAGATTCTTAGAGACACTTCCATAGTCAACCATAGTCATAACAGTATGATCAAATGTTACAACTGCAACTTACAGCAGATCAGAATTGTTAAGATCATCAGACTACGAGAACTACAGGATAGTCAATTTCTTGTCATTGCAAATTTATTTAGATTAAATAAATGCCAAATAGATTAAATACATTGGGTAAACATATGATGCACTATCATATGCATCATATGATGCATAAACATATGATGTGCTATAATCAAAACAGTTAGGCACTTTAATTCCCATGGAAAGCTAGGGAGGTGAAAGGGCCTGTTTGGAATTTACCTGTCCAAGATCTACTATTACTGTTGCACATGAACTAATGCCAAGGTTCAACTTCAACATTAAAATTGCACATTAAATTAATATTAATATGGAATTACACACCATTTCAAATGTATCCCACCCAGATCTAATTGTGAATACCATACAATAATAATTTAACTGCCACAGCTATTTCATATTCAGATTCTGATGAAAATCCAGCAATCCTTAATTCAGAAAACAGTGATCTAAACAGAATATAAAATTCTCCTTCAGGCAGAAGACAAGATAAACCTGGCAAATATACTTCCAAAATCTTTCTCTTCCCCCAGAATAAACAGACATTGTAGTGAACTAGTATCTGAGAAAAGACAGCTGTGCACTCACACGGTATATCTGCTTTTCCACTGAAATTGGTACCCTTCAGAGTCCACAGGACCTCTCTCCCTTTCAAGTATCTTCTCTTTCTTGGCACAGAATTCACTGTCTGGTTTTCTCTTCCTCTTCCACAACACAAATTCCCCTCTGGTAAGGGAGTCTTTGTCTTGCTATCTGGTACTGCTTTCTAACGCCCCTGCTTGCTCTCTCTCAGTCACTCTACTTCTCTGTTGTGCTTCCTATTTCCCATAATCCGCCTCCCTCTCTCACAGCCTTCCTCTTTCGCATTCACCCACGGACTCTGTTTCTCCCTGTCTGCACTCTATCAGCTCTTTGCCGCTATTAACGTCTCCAGTCTCTGCTCTCCCTTCTTTATAAGCACGCATGAAGAGAGACAGAATGGGCGGAAATCAACCACTCTCGAGTCAAACAGGCCCGCAAGAGCAGAGGGAGGCAGGTGACGGGGAACCGAAATTTGAGTCTGCTTCCTCATTCACTCAGGCAGCTGCCGGTGTGGCTGGCTGGGGTGGAGGAAAGTTATTCAACCAGCACTCGAGGCGCAGAAAGCAAACTGCACTGCAAGTAAGCATGAATGCATTCTCAGTGCAAGCTCAGTGCCACCAACATCACAGCGCAATTCCAGCAAGGGCTGCTCAGCCCTCTAGTTTCTGCTCAACCTAAAATCTCAGGTCACAGGATAGTTAGCTTGATTGGAACAATTATGAATCATTCACCTGTAAGAACAGCTGGACTGGAAGACTACCTCTCCCCTCCTAAATACACATCCTGTTCATTCCATAGGGGCTACAGTAGTCTTCTCACTTTTGTTGTGCCTCCTGCTTCCTGTTTACATGGCATAACTGTGACTGCCACCTGGCCACCGTAATTCAAAGAACCCATTAATGCAAGCTCAACTAAAAATAATTTGGTTATTGGTATATTATCGTGTTTTATATTTAATATACATACATAATTAAGTATATAAAATGGTTGTTTAAATTAATTATTAATTATTAATAAATATAAATATTGGTTTTGTTTTGTTCCATCTAGCAGCGTTTCAGAAGTGAATCTTCAGCTTCCTGGCTTCGCTTCTAAAGATCCACAAGTCCAGCTCCAAGTTCAGGTTCCAAATTCTCCTACTAACACTCACCAATGCACATAAAAGAACCTTTCCACCCCATTAAAATGCCCTGACTCAGAAAAGGGCAGGCTCCTGGATCAGGACATGCAACGATATACGGAAGAGTGTTATACTGGTAGGCAATCCATAGGTGTGGAAGCATTTCCTAACTTTATTTCATTATTTTGTGAGGATGTTTCAGGTGTAATATGATCATGAGGAAGACTCAGGAAAGATACCCTATATTCACAAAGTCATTTGAAAGCAGAGCTTTAGCTTATAGAAGTGCTACATGCTTGAACCATACCTTCCTTCACAGTTGAAAAGCTGTCAATAAATATTTTTAGACTAGGCTAAGGAAAGGATCTTTATAATACATAACTGCTTCTACAACCCAGGCATGCATCAGATTAGTGAAAATACAAGTTATGTCACATAATTATATATTGTACATATTAGGCATCACCACTTTACAACCGTCAGTTTGCAATCCTACTGGAAGTGCTGCTGACTGTCTGACTTTCTGGTTATCCTACCTACTTACAGTCACTATCTCCCAGCCGGGAAGATACAAGCTCCAACAAGCAGTGGATAACATCACAGTCAGCAGCAGGTGACCACGAAAAAGCGATAAGACTACTGCCTGCCCCTGTGGAATGAACAGGATCACATGACAGGGTAGTATGTCAGAGGAGGCACACCCTCTTATACTCTGAAGTGTCAAGATTTTGAGTTAAGTAACACCGTAGAAAAGTGGTCAGGTTAGTATTTGCAGAGTCATGTGGCAGTTGTAGCTCACAAAGACCTTATTGCAACTTACTGGCAGTGGAGGCAAACCTCGCGATCATATAAATTGATATGGAACCCCACAAATAATCGGAGAAGGTTAACTAACACTGATGCCTGCTGTACACTTGATCACAGCAAAACCACAGCATCACCTGCACTGAAAAACAGAGAACATCACCTCACTGTTAAAGAAAAAGGTAAACAGGTATTAGGATTAATGCAAAGCTGTATTGTCCTGGTTTCATTTCTTTTTTGCAATTCCTCTTATGCTGTCCTTTTGATGCACAGCTATTGTTGCAGCCTTCCACGCTAGCACACCTATTTCCCACATGTTTTCTGAAAAGGCATCTGAAAATGCACAAATATATTGCATGGTGGAAGCTTTGCAAGCTTAACTAAATAATCATTCTCTGCAACACATCCCTTCTCCCAGCTTAAATAAAAAAGGCAGGGCAGAGGTGATAAACAGTGTGCCCATGAAACCTGAAATAAAGTTAACCTGGCAATTGCTTTTCTTGCTTTCATGATTATATTACTTGTTTACTGTGGGTTGAGTACACTTTCCAGAAACGATTGACAGCAGTTACCTCGTGAAACTGAGCAATCTGAATACAATATTACCACAAAAGTCCTTGTACAGTATGTTTCCCACAATACATGTGCTCGGCATAACATGATGTCCTGGTCTCTCCTGCCAGATGAATTACAGAGGGCCTAAGCTGGAGACCAAAAAAAACCTTCACATACATAACACTCTGCACCCAAAGATATAACAAGGTCCGTTTGGTTTGTGGTTTTATTATTCTGAACAAACATGAAAGAAAAACCTAACTTCCTTTGACATCTGTCTACTCATTGAAATAAATTGTATCTAAACTCAGTACAAAATATCAGAAATAAAGCAAGGAAGCTACTACTACTGCTGACAGTCAAGTGTGCTTGTCTCAGAGTTGTTCTACAAAGACTCCTCAAGCAAAACAAAGGCACACCTTCAATAAGCGCCATCTGAACATCCCATTACAATGTCTTTGGCATCTGTCACTTTAGCGGCCTCTAGTGGTAACCCTTCTGTCAACGCAGCCTTCCTCGCTTTGTCTTGCTGGGGTAATAAATTACACTGTAACAACAAAGCACTTCCAAAATTAACTCAAATGTAAAACCACCTTTAACTGAAAACCACTAAAATTAACAATCCATCCAACTGGAGAACTTTCTTCTGTAATTCCTCTCTCCTTCAATTCCACATGATGCTCTGAAGTCCTTTATTGAAGTTGGTCAAAAGAGCATCAACAATCCATATACAGTTTCTATGATATACCTGTTTTGTGTTTATTGCAACAATATTGTATAAAATGCATCAAAGGCAGCTTCAGACCATTTAGTCATACTTCAGTGAGATGACATAGCTGAAAGTGGCTTCCAACATTAAAGGCAAAACCTCAGTGGCAATATATACCTCAATACTAGTCCACAAACTTATAAAAGGACATTTTATAATTGCCCAGAACTCAACTGCAACTGCTACGTAATGCAGTACATAATTAGTAGACCACAGGACACGATGCCTGACCAAGATTACTCCACAAATTTGAGGCTTTGGGTTTCCTTCAGTTCTTTCAGCTGACCCAGCTCAAAATAGATCAGTGCTGTGCATCCAACAACACAAAAAAAAAAAAACACACCACCCAAAATTTTCTCCCTTACGTCTTTTACATTGTAAGATCTAACAAAAGGTATTTCCAGGATACAATTAGCACCTAAACTTTGCCAAGTCAAATGCTTTTTTTTTCTATTTTCTGTCAGTCTGCAGTTTTTAAAATGCAATTAAGTGAGATAGTGAGTAATAGTTTCAAGTGCACCACTTCTGTTATTTATGCAAGTTAATTATTCCACAGTTTCAACGTTGTGCCATTGGAAACATATCCTGTGATCTCTAATTTTACATTTAATCCTACAGTACATAATACAAAACTAAAATGCCAATCCAATCAGGTCACATCTATGCTGACTCGGTGTTTGATAACCAGACGCAAGGTGCTATCCGTGAGAATATACAATTTGTAATACTACCTCTTCACAGTAACGTTATATTGATGATTCTGCTGATTCTAGAATGAGGAAGCAAGTCATTCAGCTAGGAAATTAAACACAAACATTATGACTCGTTTTGTTTCAATGTCTTGTTGTGTAGTCTTCCAGGAAATCACTTTAGATTTCAATATTTTATCCTTGTATAAATATACAATTGTAACAAAGTTTAGTTTTCAGAATGTAAAATATTAAACAGAATGCTACAGAAATGAAAATACAGGATCAACAATACAGAAGCAGATTACTTACTGTGAAATGCAGTATGGTGTACTGTCTGTTTTGCACAATTCGTAAACGGCAGTCACCCGCTGGATGGAGTGTTGTATAAACTCCAAAGTAAAAATTACGTAGCCCCTTTAAAACACAGGAATGCAAGTTTATGCAAGGCGGTCACAAAATACCACGTGTCTATGACTTAGCTTGAGTAAAAAAGTTATTCAACATGTCGGTAATTTGCGCACGCAGGTCTAGACGGATTAATACAACAACACAACCAAGGATAATAACGAATGAGAATAATAACTTCATCTTCCACAGCAAAGAGAGCAATAAAACGTTTCTGTCACGTTTGTTTTTTAGCTATCCCTTTTCATCAAAAGAATCCATTTTGCAAACGTTTGTATGACAAGTTTTTCAGTTCTGTTCGTTTTACTTAAAATACGTGGTAACAATAATAAGAGACGTTTTGTGTATTTTCCCTTTTTTTAGTTAAAGGAATACAGGAATATTATATCTCTTATGATCGGTTATAGTCATCATTTATGTGTCACTTCAAACCTTGTGTCTGTTTGATGCTGGAGAAATGGTATATTCAGTCCCGAAACAGATCTGATTTGTTTCACTGACATGAAAGTGTAGTAAGGGAGCAATCCAGATTAATCGGAGTCGTAGGTTCTCATCTAATTCTGTCAGTAAATTCCATAAAGATCCGAATACGCCGGGTCCATTTCTCGAGTTTCGCCATAAAAGCTGGAACTGCAATTTGTCTTTGCAGTGGAGAATTACAAAAACGATTTCCGGAAATACCTGAACTGCAGAGTTTGCGGCACTTTTTTGGAAGGGGGGTGTACGGAAGACCACATACTGTACTGTACGTTGCCACACCGCAAATATATATTAGTGAGTTAATTCTCTTACAGTTTGTTAATTATGAAAACAGTGCTATGTATAAAGGGACAAGTAGAGGTTAATTGAATGGAATTTCGGCGCCTGGCAGCAAATGAGAGAATATTACAATATAATAATATATTGTTATATATTATTATAATAATAGGTGGATGCTGCACATTGGTGGTGGTGGAGGGGAGACCCCATTACCTGTAAAGCGCTTTGAGTGGAGTGTCCAGAAAAGCGCTATATAAGTGTAAGCAATTATTATTATTATTATTATTACAGAAGCTGAGTTCAATGTGCACCTACTCTTGGAGGGGATACCAGCCCATATCACAGCCACAAAAGAAGCATTTTACCATAGCCAATGAAACCCTACCCGTATGTCTTTGGGGGTCGGAGAAAAGCTCGCTCAGACAAAATAAGAGCATGCTGATTCCACTTAGAAAAGTGCCTGCATCTGGAATCAACCCTGGGGCTCAAGAGTAATGAGACAACAGCCATGATTGCTATGCCCCCGTGCCACCCGCCTAGTGGATTCAATCATTGTATAATAATTGTATGTTCTAAACATGCATAATGCCAGTGTCCTTCATTAAACCCATCAGTGAACTCTTCGTGGCCACTTACCAAGGAGCAATCCCTTGCATAGGTTTTTCTGTATACTACATGCAAGTTTACCCTGTCATACAACAAAAGACCGGATTAGGAACATTGTCCTATTAACGGCAAGCTAGTCTTCCCAATCCGAATGGCCTTAGCTTGTCCCCCCACCCCTCCTTGGAGCTGAACTGTACTGCTTCCCAATGACACTTGACCCTGAATTTAGCTGTTTCGTCCTGCTGTACATTATACTGTATATGGAGGTCTCGCCATCTTCTCTTTCTCTTTCTCCAGATCTTGCTTGTCTCTCCACCCTCTCTGTTTATCTCCCTTTCTCTCTCTCCCCTGAATTGGATGAAGCAGTTAGAAAATTGATGTATGGAATTTATTACAATCATTTAACACAAATTACTTTAACAGTACAAACCACTTCTCATCCCATTATCATGTGGAATGTTGGTTATTACATAGAAGGAGAGCGCTGGTTATTTTACTTGAACATAGTTTAAGTAGGTAGCTCTGTCAGCATGCATAGGCTGCAAAAGAACAAGTAAAGGTTTGTTCCATGCTGAAAAAGGGTTTGGTGAGAGCAGGGAGGAGGAGAAGGAATGACGAAGAGATCTAGAAAAAGATTTAGCGGAAGGCATAATGGGTCGCAGCAGAAGTATGGAATAATCTTTTCAGCATGGAGTAAACCTTTACTTGTTCCTTTACTTGAATATAGTGCTTCCTGGTGGTTTGAATGAGGAATAACATCTAATACATTTGAATTTATATAAACCTTGACATTTAGTGCATGATATGATTTTTTTCCCTTTTTGACATTTCAATCTTTTCCCCTAGAATTAGACGACATTATCTAAATAAAAGCCACTCAACAGCAATCATATAGTTCACAACCAGATTTGAACAACCCAAGCTCTCAGGGTTATGGAAGTAACATCTATGTGCTGCAAAACATTTCTTGGGTAACATGTCTCTGCATTAAACACAATTCTCTGCAGCTTGTAATTGTCATTGAGCAAAAATAGTATGTCGTATTTTTTATTTTGCATTATGATGTTCAAGGTTTTAAATCAAAATATAAATAAGTAAATGCAGATGAAAATAAAAGCTAAGAAGAAATCATGCAAATTGTCATGACATTGTGTTTTCAGGCACTAGATTACTATTACTTTTAATCAAGTTGCACATTTTGTTCTTTAGTCTTTGCACATTGGAGGACAGATAAAGTCCATCTAACTCCATAAACACTTTTTGGAATACTTCAAAAGTGTATCTGAGCTCGTTTTGGCATCTCAAATTGTATGTACTGTATTCTGTATATCTGAGTCATCAAAATAGCACTAGCCTTGAGCACACTTCCAAGATGATGTTTCAAGATTAAGAAAATGCTGACATCTGGGGGGTTCACATGCTGCCACACCTTTAGTGATCTCAAATATCCTCATGATGCTTTGTCCAAGATCTTTTTATATGTCATCGCCCTGTGTATGCTGTAAAAAAAAAAAGTGGCAAAAAACAATGCTTTTTAAACTTGCAGTTTAGCAGCAACTGGCATTATGATGAAATGTGGTTTATGGAATTTTAATTGTTTCACTGTTTTCACTTATTATTGTAAAATAATTGAATGCCTTTGAGCAAACAGGATGCTGTATCTCCATTTATACAGAACTGGAGAGAAAAAGAGAGACTGGAAGAAGAGGACAGCCCATCTGTAGTTGGCATTGATGACATTGCCACTGCAAAACACCACTGGAATGGGGGCAGAGGAGGGTGTTCGCATCACCTCACCCCTGAGGAAAAGCAGTTTCATTCACCAGTGAAATGCACAGCAGCTAGCACTAAGTGAGAAATTACTTCACCAAGTGTAACAAGGACAAGCTTTAGAGTAGGCCAGGAATTTAGTTAGGACAAGAGGATTTAGCACCCCTACTCATGGGGTTATTTTACAACCAAGCAGTCTACACTTTGGTTTAACATTTGATGTGATGAATGACACATCCATATAGCACAGTATGCCCTAATTTCTTTGATCTGTGCAACTTGATAATAATCAAATGGATTTATTTATGCCCCTTTCACATTTGTTAAATATATCATTTCATGCTCATACAATAATCTAAATATCTAAATCTAAATACCAAATAGCTTAGATGTATTTAACTTTAATCTTTTTCTGAACAGTTTATCTATTCTAACTTGGACAGTCGGCTATTTCGTGTTTAAGTATGTATTTACGCAATCCGACTCCGAGAAACGAAACTGAAAGAAAGTTACTATTTAGTTCGTGAACGTCTGGAACTACTCGCATATGAAGAAGGAAATCCTATCCATTCTGCGTGATATTTGATAGGATACCTCGATTTTTTTGCTTAAAGAAGACTTATACGGTAAGAGAAAAATATATTTCTGTGTATGATTTTAGATATGTTTTCAATGTACAGTATGCCAATGAATGAATAATTCATAATGTGTTCCAAAGTTTAATTTATTTACAGTGTTTGCAGGTTATTGCAAGCGTTTCACGTTTCCGGTTAAGATATTTGTATTTTGAGACAAACTGTAGGTAATTTGGTAGAATAGTTTACTAATTGATTTGTTTGCTCAAATTTGTGCTGTAATAAAATATATTCTAGGATGACAAAACTAAAATATAATGCCCAAGAGACATTCGTTTTATACGGGAGCGCATTGTTGTCACCAAGGAAGAAACAATCCTCGCCCTCATCTCGTAATTACGACAAAGTTATCTCATAATTACAAGAAAAACATGTCGTAATTACGAGATACTGTAGTAATTTTCGGATACTTATGACTAAACCCCAGTCGCAAGTAAATCCGTACTAATTCTGAAGCGCTGGACATTGGCAAAATCATGAAACCGAAAGATTTAGCCAAGTTCACGGTAGTTTCTAGATGCGTTCAGTGCACAGCGTAACAGGTTGTACAGTACATACACCGAAGTAATCATTGCTATCTCACAATTACGAGATAATAAGGGGGCGATTTTTCCCATTGGTGGCAGCGATGCGCTTCTGTAGTTTTAGATTTAATCATAAGTAATACAAATATGTTAAACTTATCTTGATGACTTTTAAACATTTTCTTGTATATTCTTTTCCTAGAGGAAAATCCTGTCAGTGGAGGAATAGCACAGTTAAATAAGTAATCAGAACAGCTCTTGGACCAACTGTCTTGTAATATGGCCCTGCCTCTAGCAGATAAAAGTTTGTACCCAAGCTTGGACAAGTTGGGAATCAGAGGTATGAGAGTGGACACTGATTCACATAGACAAGCCCTCAGTACCAAGGGACTGAAAAATGAATGCAAAATACCACCAGATGTGGTAGACTCCATTGATTGGAATAAACTGAAGATACTAAAGGTCTTTAATGCAGATGTTACAAACATTGAACAGGAAAGAGGTGTTTTTTCAGAGACCATATTAGGAAATACTAAGACAGCATCAGAAATAAGGCATAAACAAGCTAGCATCAGAGAGAATGGGAAAAAGAATTTTCCAAAGGAATGTATAGCTACTAATCAGGTCTGTGGGATTTATCAGACACCAGAAGGCCTAAAGATCTACATCTGTGTGGGTGACACTCTCCATCTGGAGTCTGATGTAGTTGTAAAGCCAAGCAGCAGGAAGACAAAACTGGGAACCTTTGAGCAAGTGGTGGATGAAGAGCAAGCAGTCACACTAACTGTTCACAGACGGTTGACCACCAAAGGGAGACTACAGAGGGTCATCACATTTCACTGGAATGTTGTGGAGTGCAGCAGTTGTGTGTCCCTGATTCAAAGTGCAATCAGTCTTGTACTAAAATATGTGAAGCACCATGGCCTGGCATCTCTGGCTATTTGCCTTCCATTAACAAATGCACAGTGCTTTCAGTCTGAAGCTGAAATTCTGGTATCAGAATTAGAGGTTTTCAGCAGGGCAACACTCTCCATTTTACCTGCACCTGTGTCTGTGCACCTGGTTTTTCCTGATGAAAATGAAGGGGTCATACAGCTACAGAGAAGCCTGGGGGCAAGCTGGCACCCTTTCTCTGAAATACAAAAGGAGACGGCTGATCGTCTCCCCAATGAAGGCTTTCCCTTCCCAGAAGGAGACATCTTGGCTCAAGTGGTGTGTGGAACTTCGGAAGAAACTACGGTAAGCAGGGACCATTTCAATACCTCGTACTTTGCATCACAATGTCACCCTAAAATTAGAGGGTATAAAAGAAAAAATCATCAATTTCCTATTTTTAAAACAAAACTTGATAATCTAGATAAACTTAATTATCTAATGCCATCATTGGATAGGAGGATCTCCAGTTTTCATTAAGGGTGTTTAGAGGTTAGTTATTACTAAAGGGACCTTCTATCTGCTTTGCTGTGTAAACTGTTAAAAATTAAATCCCTTCAAGATGCATTGCCTTCATGCAACATTCTAGTGTATTCTAAACAGAAGGCAAAGGTTATTAATGTAAGCATGCATATAATCAATAGAATCCTTTATTGAAAAAACATTGGCTGTGGCCAACGCATTGTCAATGTTGCTTTCAATAAAGGATGTTTATTGAATTCTGTCCTTTTCATGTGAGTGGACCCTACACTTCCATTTATAACTGTCCGTGTTCTTTGCTTCTCTCTTGTAGACAGTCCTTGTGGATGTTAACTAATTATAACCCACACAAATAAGGATGCTACTCATATGCTTTTAAAGAAGAGTGTATTTTGTTTTCCTAAATACAATACTCTGTACTTTTGTGTTGTTCGCTCATATTTTTTCTCTTATATTTGGTTTTCTCATATCTGTTGGTTACAGAAATCCATTGTATGTCTAATTCCTAATACTTAGCACCTTGTAGCCTTTTCCTTTTCTCTTTTCATCTCCGCAATAGTAATTCAGCCCAAAGAGTATAGTTATTCATCTGTGATCTGATTCTGTGATCATTTAACTGTATGGTAACATTACACTAGATGCATAAAACTTAATTTACAATAAAGCTTTTAGATTAAATTAAGGGAATACTTATTTTAAAATATAGCAAAATGAGATGTCATGTAAATTAGTTGCAAATATTGATGCAGATTAATCAGATTAAAATAATTTCTTAATAACCAGATAATGATGTGGACTTTGAAAATGCCCAAAACAATTTTAAGTAATGATTTACTCATTAACACCTCCCAGTCAAAACAAAGAAATAGACTTAGATTGTTTTTTGTGTTTCTGTTTTGCAGGTGTTGAAAGGCATTGAAAAGCCTTCAGGTATGAACTTTTTTTTAAAACATACTCAATTCATTATGTAGGATTTTAATTGGTTGTCATTATTGCACTTTCTATGTGGTCACTATTGCTTATCATCCTGAGTCATATCCCAAAAAAGTGTAAAGCTACTCATTTTTTGGGGGAACAGCTATATATAGAAAATTTGCTTACCAATTCTAAGGGCATTTCTGTTTTTGCAATATGGCTGGGTAACTTGTACCATAGTCTCAGTGCTCTGGGTAGAGAAGTGCCTCCTGTTCTCAGTTTTAAATGCACTTCCACAATAGTCTCCATTTGTGTCCTCTGCTTTATGTTTACTATATCCACTAAAGTCTGCCCATCAGTGGTTTTTAATTCTTGTAGTCAGGTACCCTCACATGCTTCTCTGCTGAGGACTAAAAAGATTCAGTGCCTGTCATTGGCAGGGTATTCCCTGGAGCCCTTGAGTGTATCTGGTTGCTCTTCTCTGGACTGGTTCCAGAGCAACAATATGTTATCTTAAAGACACATTGTAGACATTATTCTAAATATGTCACCGATGTCGGAAAGGACGAACCATGAAAAGACAGGAGAGCGAAAAGACCCTATGCGTAGTGGCGAGACGGGGGTTAGCCCAGGGTCAGCTGTTCAGGAAATGCCGTATAGAAACCTATGCCCTCAGGTAGCAGACGTGGGGCGACCTGGTGCTAGGCGGGTTTCAGGACATCCGAACATCAATGCTGAGCGAGTAACAGAGCAGAAGCCGGAAATAAATAGGCTACACAACAAGACACACCAGAAAGACAAGAATAATCACAGGAAACTAGGAACAGGAGGAAAGTAGAGCGCCCTCTAGGTGTACTGGGCGGGACAAAATAAGAATCACTCACTTGTGCATTATACATTTTCAACATCCCATGCTTTGATTTAATGTCTATGCTTTTCAATTACTTCCCACATTGTATAAAATATGTCAATGGTGTGCGAATGTAAACACCCGCTGTAATTCTTTTTCATAAGTGAGTAACTTGTTTCACTTAAAACTCTGCATAAGGAAGAAGTCAAAGTGTGAATTGCATTAACTACTTATTTTACTTTTGATTTCATTTTTAAATATTTATCGGTATATATCTATTTTTTTCTTTCTAGAAATAATTGGAACCTGCTTTATGGACGATTCCTATTTTATACAGTACATTCAGGACCATGCGGAGGCTTTCAAAGATATTTCCAGACACCTCTTTGCCAAGAGTTTAAAGTTTAGCATTTTCCATGGGTCACAACTACCTAGCCTCCTAGTGGAACCAGATAGCTCTGGGAGGAGCAGTTTGTCTCTCATGGATATCTACTGGCAAGCCAGAAAACTGTATGGTGTGAGAACTGTAGAACTCACATCCTGGATAAATCGGAAAGTATATGCCCCTGCTCTTAGTGCATTGCCCTCTGTTAGGTTTTATAAAGAACTGCAAGTATTGGTAGGGAGGGTTAAAGAATTGGAGGAGTTTCTGAACTGGAATGTAGCCGTTGAGATAAATTCTGAAAATTGGAAACCTTCTTCGGATGAAACAGTTTTTGGAGTCATCCGCAGGTTCATGCAGATGCTGTCAGATCAATTCCCGTATGTTTCAATTTTAAGCTTTAGGGATATACCAAGGTTAGTGTTCAAGGGACCATTGAAGGACATTAACATGGCTATGAGTTTGCTTAAGGGGCAAATCTCTGAACAGAAATTACAAGTTGCATGTGAAAACCAACTTTCAAAGTACCAGTGTGCTTTCCTAAAAGGACTGGACCTGGAAGCTTTCTCTGCTGAAGTCTTTGACCCCAGAGGGATGCTGGCTACTTTGAAATGTCAAGATGGCTCCCTAGTGGTGACAGGGATTCATGAGGATGAATCCGAGAGAGTGGTGAAAATCCTGAAGGATGTTGTTAAGGAGAAAGCCATCCGAATCAGTAGTGCTAACCAAGCAGCTACTAAAAAGAGGGTCTGGCAAGAACTAATGGACAGTATCTTTCAAGGGTTGAATGTGAATGGAAAGAAGGTGGAAGCCCACACGATGAGAGATAAGAATGACACCAACTACTTGGTGGTGCTAGTGGGATTTACAGCAGAGTTGCAAGCTGCATGTTGTTGCATCCAAAACTATTTACGCCACAATACTCTTGCTAGGAGAGTCCTGCAATTCCGGCAGCCACATTTAATGGAAGCAGGAATTCAACTTCAGAAAATCATGGACTGGGAAAGCTCGATACAAACTAAGGTGAGACAGTTATTTGACACTTTAAGTCTAACACTTGGTAAAATTAATATAATTCTGAGGGGTGGTCTCTTAAGAAGTTTCTAGAATGTTCTTTTAATCATTATTAAGCTATATTCTGGTATAACAGATGCATATATATCTTCAATTTATACTGTATAAAAACATATTTGTTTTATGGGGAACGGTATGGTGTGTACCCCAAGGCTTTAAAAAGCCTGGCAGTGAGTTAGGTGAGGTGCTTATCTGCTTCACTTCAGCCCCATACTGTAACTTTCTGTGTGACCGCATGTCTTCATTAGGTGAAGATGAAGACTGGGTCACAATCCCAGCTGGAAGTGATACTGTCTGGTCCACGAGATGAAGTACAGAGAGCCCAGGAGACTGTGACAAAGGATCTGGAGTCCCTTGTGAGGAAATCCTTGACTCTGGTTGAGCCTTGGACCAAGGATTACTTTGAGGATCAGGAAAGAAGAGCTACCTTGGAGGAGTACTGTGAAGCCCTTAGATGCCTTGTCATCATGGAAGTCAGGAATGGTCCTGGAGAAGGTCCGTTTAATTAGTATAAATTCTTCTTGGTTAGACACAAACAAATGTATCTATTCATCCATAGTCAGTCTGTTAGCTATCACTATTGTAAGATAATTACTACACACCTTGTGAATAGCATACAAAAATAGGGTTTCTTATTGACTTCTGAATCCATATATATAAGTACAGTATACTATTGTGTACTTGTTATACAAAAAGCTGGATATCGTCCTTAGTTTCCTACAGCTTTAATACATTTCATTTTCTAGCACACAAGATCCATGTGACTGGGAGGATGCCAGATGTGGAGAAAGCTCGAGCAGCCATTGAAACAGACTTCCAGGGTGCCAAACAACAACAATGTCTAAAAGACCCCCAGATTGCTCAGCTGAGACCAGAGCAACTCGCCTCCATCCAGAAAGAGCTGAGAGTCAGGCTCCATTGCAGAAATAGTTCTATCACAATAGAGGGACTATCTGAACAAGTCCTGGAGGCACAAAAACGCATTACAGAGCTTCTGAAATGTATTTCAGAGAAGGCTGCTGTACGTATCCCGTTACTTTTTTAGTTTCAGTTAATGTTGAGTTTGAAACCTTCAAGGATATGTATCACCACATTTTGATTAACTGTAATTAAAATGTTTTTAAGAAAATTGAAAGCATTTTTCTCCCTCTCTCCAAAAGTATTGCTAAGTATAACTTAATTTAATTTCTTTTTTGTATATCTACAGATAGGCATAATTGAACCTTTGTATTTACTTCCAGAAACCTTTTTCTGCATTTTAGCAAAAACAAAAAGGAAAATTGCCATGTTCCTCTCATCATAAATATTTTTCTGTCATTTTAAATGAACTGAACTCATACTTTGAGAATTAGTACATAGGACTTTTAGGAAGTGAATGGTATACAGTATGTTCTGATTCAATAAATAATACCCACAGGTTGATCATCAGGCAGTATCTACAGACATTCCAATAAGGGAAAGATATCTGGCTGAGCCTACAAGATCAAATCAAATACCCTTACAGTTAATAGCCAGGAACCAGATTCACCAGCAGCCAGAAACTGGAGTTCGTATGGCAGAAGGTGAGAATGGAAGTTCTATATTTCCATTATTGGATTCCTAACCACTTCCTATGGTACGATGATGCAGTATTTGCTTTTTCCTGGACCTTTCTGACCTTGCTAAGTTTTTTTCCTTGAAAATGTAAAATGTTTTTTCTGCTTTATTACAGATCTCTTCTTTGGTGAGACGAGAGTTGATTTCCGATCCCTTCAATTTGCTGGCCCAAGCAGGTTTACGTGCAGTGAGCCAGGCTGCGGTTGCTCTTTCGACTCCCAGAAAGGGCTGCAGCTCCATCACACCCAGATGCACACAGAAGAAGGGAGAGACACCTGTCCTAAGTGTGGCAAAGAGAGCACTAGAAGTGGGATAACCCGACACCTCCCATACTGCCAAGGACATCTGGGGTTGTATCAGAGCAGAAATCCTTCGTTAACCCAGTTTACATCAACTTTATTCAACAGGATCCAGACTTCTCAGCCTCCAAGTATAGTCTCTAAAGCACAAGGTGAGAGGAGAGGAATGGAGGGATTCATTATTTCTTTCTTGGATTTGATATGGGCTCCTAAACTTTAATACATTTTGAATTAATAGGAAAATGCAGTAGAAGGCTTCTTCGCTGTCACCAATGACAGATTGACAGATTAAGATGAGCAAGTGACTGAGCCTCTAGGAAACCTAAAGAAGTAGCTCATACCGTCAATTTCGTCTGACTACTTCCATTCCCAATATCCGTATTCCTTGTTTTCGACAAACAATCTAATTTTGTGGTTCTTTTGTCTTTTCTCAGATGAGAAAATATTCAGTTTCCAGTCCCTTCAATTTGCTGGCCCAAGCAGGTTTACGTGCAGTGAGCCAGGCTGCAGTTGCTCTTTCGACACCCAGAAAGGGCTGCAACTCCATCACACCCAGATACATACAGAAGAAGGGAGAGACACCTGTCCTAAGTGTGGCAAAGAGAGCACTAAAAGTGGGATAACCCGACACCTACCATACTGCCAAGGACATCTGGGGTTGTATCAGAGCAGAAATCCATGGTTAATAACTAGAGTTGATGCTGATTCTCAAACAAGTTCCCAACTCACATCCACCTTATATGACTGGACACAGAACTACCAGACCAGTGAAAGATTAACTCTACCACAAGGTGAGAACAAGGGACATATAGTCCTTGAAGTGTAGGAAAGTGGTCTACTACCATTTACTACAACATGAATCACAAGAAGAAATTTAACTATGTCTTTTAATTGTAGATAATATCAGAGTGGGATACTTAGTCTATTCAATGTATTTTGTATGATAGATTTTTGAATGCTAGTGTTGCTTATTATCAGTGAAATTAATGTAAGGACCATGGCTAGAATAGCTAAACCGCCAGACTTCAGTGTAAAGGAATTTTAACAGAATACAGGTAGTCACTGAGTTACGTAGTACATAGTTTACATATTCTCAGCAGCCCCTAGGTAGCAACCTCTTTAAAAAATAAAAATTCAGAGGCACGTACAATCATTTGTGTAGTATATGTAACAGAACTACTTACTGTTCTTTGTAGCCCATTTGTTTTTTCTTGTAAATTTAAACTGTATATAACCTTGGCCAGCAGGTGTAAATTCGATGTGAAAAGTAAACTGGAGCAGTGAAGAAAATTATTTATTAAATAGATATGAAAAAGGTGACTCATTATCAAAGTATAGTGCATGTATAAACACATTGATTTGTTACTTTAATGCTTGGGTATGATAAAAGGACATCTGAGACATCTTTCTATATGCATTAGGCTTAATGCATATACAATAGTAAGCTTTAAATGTATGCAGTACAGAAAAAATATAAAAATGCAAGAAACTAACCCCACATAAGTTGATGACAGTACTTTAAATAAGAGCATTTTTATAATATTCCTTTCTTTATTTTCTAATTCTATTAATTCTATTAATATCTAAAAATCAGTATGTGCAGGGCCAACTAACCCAACTAAAAAGAAATGTATAAAACCAACAAAGTTTGTTAAAACTACAAAAAGCAAAGCAAGTTTATTAGCTTTTAGTCTGTGTGACATCTTTTACATAATTTTGTTGTGACTTTGTACCTCTGTTGATCTGTTGCTTTACTTTCCCAGCACACTAGTTCCTGCTAGGTTAACGACATAATTGCTATGTTACTGATGTAGTTGCTACTGTATGTTGTAAGCTGGGCCAATGGATAGCGGATTACAAGTTGGGCTAGCCAGCTGGCCAGTGCATCCAGCAGTGGAAACACCTCCTCCTATGGTCTGGCTAGATAGGCTAGGTAGATTTCATTTTTAATGTCACTTTGTTTTCCTTCACAGCTTGGAAGTCTGAAGGCGTCCAGCCCTACAGGCCGCCTATACCCACCTCCTCATTCACCTGCAGCTGTGGTCGTTCCTTCGACACCCAGAGAGGACTAAGTCTGCATCACACCCTGATGCACACGGCGGCAGGCCGGGCCACCTGCCCTTCCTGTGGCAAAGAGAGCACCAAGAGTGGGATCACCAGACACAAGTGCAAGGGAAGATAAGCACCTCATTGGTAAAGTCAGTTAGTCAGTTAAGTGATATCCAGGTATCTTTGTGTGGTGTCTCATCAGGTGAGAAAAACCTGTCTATGTTGAATTGTGTATTTGGTATAAGGAAAAAAGTTCCATCTGGTCTAGCATCGGTTTAGAGAGGAGGTTTGTGCCTCTTAGTTGATAAGTGACTTTACTAGTCTCCTTCTGAATTTCTGTCTCATTAGGATGACACTGGGACAGTCTGTCTACGTTTTGGTTGTGTAGAATACTGAGTACAGGTACTCACACTGTCACGAACAGTACTTTCCGGGCCCTATGCGGACGACACCATCCGGAATTGTGAGGATACAACAGGGAAAATAGTCATGCAGGAGAAGGGTCTGGAGACGGGGGGCGTGTCCGAGGAGTGCAGGTGTCCAGGGGGAGTGAATCCAAGGCGAACAATCCAAGAGTATATCCAAAGGGGGAATCCAAAACGGGAGGTTGAGTCCAAGGCCAGGGGATCCATCCAAAGTAATTAAAAACAAGAACCGGGTCGGGACCGGCAGGACAGGGAATCAGGAACAGGAAACTAAAACCATGACGGAGCCAGAGGCGGCAGGACCCCTGGGCTCTCACGAAGCAGGATTCAATGAGAAACCTCGGGCAAACGCCTGCGTCTGCCCGAGGTGGAACTAAAAAGGGGCTGGAATAAGGAACAGGTGTAAGCAATGGGGGAAAACGAGGAAGGGCTGGAGCACCCTTAAGAGGGGCAGTAGCGATTGTGACACACACATATTGTAAATATTTGTAAATAGTAGTACATGTGTTTTCTACATTAGTTGTGCACATAAACACATGCTTGTGTCTTACACAATAATCTCATTTAATCTGAAAACCACATACTGTAGTGCCAAGAAAAAAAGAAACCCCACTCAACATTCTCTGATTACTGGGATGTTTTATTATTTCCCTTTTATACATGTGCCTGCAAGGCAAGATGGTGTCCCTAGCTTTCACAATTAAACATTTACTTTATCCGTTTATTTACAATACTTAAAATAATGCTGATTCTGCTGAGAGTGATGCAGGCAAGTTCTTATCATAGGTTATGATAACTCATACCCGATCACCGTGTGGTATGGCAACACCTCTTCGTGAGAAAGAAAGGCACTGCAGAGAATGGTCAATATGGCCCAGAAGATCATCGGCTGCGGTCTCACCGAGATTAAACAGCTCTATGAGGACCGCTGCCGTGGTAGAATTCTGGCCATCACAGAGGACAGTCACCACCCCGGGCATGAGCTCTTCACCCCACTGCCCTCAGGCAAGAGATATAAGAGCATACGGACATACGGATTGTTTTACAATCGAGAGACTTTCTGTAAGTAAGAATTCCATTGTACCAGTACATGTACCGGTTACATATGGCAATAAAGTTCAAGTTCAAGTTCAACTGCTATAGACCTATATCCATTTTGTGTCACCTTTTTAAAATGGAAAAGCGTGTTAACAAGCGTTTAACTATGTGTGTGCCCTGCAGTGGACCGGTAACCCGTGTAAGGTGTATTCCTGCCTTGTGCCCCCTGATGTCAGGATAGGCTATGGAGTAAGTAATCATCATATTATAGAAGGTTGGATGATAATTATTTTCTCTCTTTGATTTTTTTTCTGTGCAGCAGTCGTGTTAGCTTCTCAGTCAGTTTGTCATTGTAAATAATCTGTTCTCAAGGAAATTATAAGGTTAAGTAAAGGCTTATTTTTAACTTTTAAGATAAATTTATATTTGAAACTGTCAGTTTACCAACTACACTTTTTAAGTGTAATGTTTTGGAATATTTTTTTTCTGTTTAGCTGTTGTTTGATACTTGCTTTGAAATGACTTTATACGACTATAGTTGTTAATGTAATATTACTGTTATTATTGTGAAACAGTTAAAGAATGAACAAATCTTTAGATACATTGTCTCAAAATATTGTAACTGAACAGGGCAAAATGTTAATTCAAAGTGTAATATGAATAAAAGTGCTTTTGAAAATCGAAACAATGTGTTAAACCTAAGAGGTATAAAAATCCTATATAAAAAAACTGTACGGAGCACAGTAGGGATAATTTATTTTTGTCTTTATTGTACAAAATCAAAGTTACATACTTATGTTAAAACCACAGGCATTGTTATGTTATCATATGTGAAAAAATGATCATTTCTGTGCACGTCATTTATAGATTTAGGTTTTGAGTTGCTTAAACTAATATAAAACAGAAACAAAAATAAAGACTAAACAAAAGTAAATTGTACACTGTACTGTATTGAAATGGTAGATGAGACTAATAAGTATGGATGATTTCTCAAAGGATTTTTAGGTGGTAACTTGATATTTCTGTCCCTCTGAGAAAAAGGCTGATGGACTAACATTATGTGATACTGTATATTTGAAACACCCATCCAAATATTTATCTGTATCCTTTGGGATTCCCATTTTTAAATATTCCATTAATCCGACACCACAAAAATAGACATGCCAAAAGTTATGTCAGTTATCACACAGCCTTCTACAAATAAAGAAATAAAACATCCAAACAAGGCTCCATAGCCAAAACAGTTTGCTTCCTTTCTTTTGTTTTCAGCATGGAATAAACCTATTACGTGTTCCTAAAGAAATAAAAGCTGCTTTTTCTTTAGAATCTCTTTGGTTTGTTTGCTTGGTACACAGATAAACTGAATGTCGTTTTTAAAAACAAAAAGTCTTTGCAGAAGTTTATAATATTTGTTGAGATTGTAAAAGATTTTTGTAAAATAATTCCCCCTTATTAACCTTTTAGTCGGAAAGCATGGATGTTTATCTTACTGGCATAATTTTACTTTAATAAAAGAAACAAACAGGAAAAAAACTAACAAATATAAATGGTACTGTTTTTGACAATTAGACTGAACCAAATCAAAAAACCATAAAGGAAAAGGTTTTGTAATTTGCAGTTGGCTAGCGAGGGTGATGTGTGCAAAACAATGTTAGTTTTACTGATTTATGAGATTGTTTTGTTCAAATATTTTGTTGGGATTTTGGTAGGATATTCTGTATGTACCAATACAGATGTTTTAAAAAGCTTACCTCGTTTTAGTTTTACTGGGTCTCTAAGATATGTAACCCACATTTGCTCATGTTTCTGAAATCTTAACTGTACAATATACAATAACAAATACAATTCACATATAAATTAAATGCAATAGATTGAGTTGCTTGAAGACTGTGAGACAACATACTGTAAGTAAAAAGTAAATTAAATGCTAATGTAAAAAGATTCTGGGTAGTTCTGTGAACAATTACTAAATCAGGATAACATCAATATAATTTAATCCCTTACGTGACTATGCAGCCTTTTAAATGTCTTTTTTATAGAAAAATTTTGCTGGCACAGAAATTGTGAACACAAATTGTAACACAGGTTACAGAAAAATGTACAATGGACCTAAATATAATACACATATTTCTGCATATTATTGAAAGGCAGCACAATCCCTTCATAAAATAGTGCTTCTTCAAGTTTAGACCTTCAGGTTAACTGAAATACTTTTTCAATCCCTTAGTACACACTCTAAAATAACCCTCCTACTGTTGCTATTCTACATACAAATCCTTGTCCTTGACCTTAAACCCAAAGTAGGGACCCCTCACTTGGTTTAGTTTTCCTCAAAGAAACTTTGGCTCAACAGCGTGTCACCAACACCTTTGAGTACCTTTTGTAATGGAGATGGCTGCCTGCTGGGAGTAAGATGAACTACAAACCAATACCACAAGGTCCCATCGGAAATGAAATCTCCGTGGCTACAGTATGTGAATCTAAGAGCATGAACCTGTAAAGCTGTATCCTGCTGTGAGAATTCCAGTGTGCTATACATACAAATCCCTGATTAGCTCCTCGAGAAGTAAAGCCTAACTGTCATTAAGAACTGACAAGTAAGTTTTTTAGAGAAAATATGCAATTTTTGCCAAAAACTCCCCACAGAGCTGCATAGAGGTTTTTACATGGGGGCCTGGATTTGGAGCTGATCAATTTTATTTGCTCCAGCCTAAGTAAAGAATACACTTACCAGAATCTTTGTAGAATCTGTCACACTGCATTTGGTAAAGTAAGGATTCAAAAGAATTACAAGATGGCCATTTAGAAATGCTTTAATTTAATGGGAAACCAGAAGGCTTGGTAGACAATGGGCACAGTTTTGCCAAATATACTGTTCTCACAATATTGAATTGTTTAAATAGACAATTTAAACTGAAAGGTTTTCAATAATCTATTAATCTTGTATATATACTGGTATATGTATAATACAGTATATAATTTAAAATCTCCTTTAAACTGCATTCTGTGTAATTGTTTTTTTTCTATTGAGAATGATGTTGGCCATGCCAGTTAATTGTTGTGAGTGGACTTTTTGTAAATGACTCAATGACTTTTTCCAAATTGACATGCTTCTGGTGTATGCTCCTGTATTAATTAGTAATCAGAAGTCATTTGTTAAGACAAAAAGTCAGAGGATGCATCTAGTATGATAAACAACAAACTGACACTGATAACAGAAAGATACATGTGATCAGTTAAAATATAATTTATATATCCTTTTCCTAAATATTCACTGTGATCTTACCTGCTTATATTAAAAAACAATGACAATTCTTCTAACTGTATAGAAAAAATAATATTGTTAAGGATAATGCACTTAATCTTTTAGGGTAAATTGGAACACATGAAAAGCACTTACTAACTGGGGATGATCCCATATTCAGTACTCAAGATCGGTATTAAGTCTAGGTTAATACCAATTGCAAAGGACTTGGCTGAAATTAGTCCCCAGCTCCATGCTAAAGATGTACTCAATTGCAATTAACTTAAAGTAACAGCTGCTGCCCTCTAGAGGTTACTAATGTACAGGACTAAGTTACTATACTTCTTGCAATAAACTAAGCTGTAGACTATCTTCTGTAGTTAAATGTACAGTACAGGTATATAAAATAAAGCCTCCAGTAGCTTAAACTTCAGGAAATCAGGCTCATTATAAAAATCATGTCAAGATCCACAGACATAAATTAAGAAATACTCTTAGATGAATGCAACAAAAACAGGACTTGAAACTTAGTGTATGAGGTTTACCTTTGCAATATTTTTATACATAAATGAAGCCCACGTCTATCATAAAAAAATGAATTACCAATGTTTTCTCTCACCAATTAAATTCCAATCCACTGTAATATGCCGTATGATCAAATTCAAACAGCATCCAACAGCAGCTGGACTCATTTCTAAGACGTATTAAAATTTATAGAACAGCTAGTTATGTACCTTCATCTGGAGTATGTAAGCATACATACATTTATTTATTTATAACTAACATTAAACTATCATGATCATTCAGTTATTTATACGACAGTGATATATATATATACTGTATATTAAT